TAATGTATTGGCTCAGCGAGTTGAAGTCGACTTGGTATAAATACCAAATCTCCCAGAAGAGAATGCGTTAGGCCCACTGAGTTCGCGTTTCCGATCCGGTGATAGATTCCGCGAAGCACTGCTCTTGCTAGGGCCAGTGTTAGCAACATACCCGGTTACAGCCCCGTTAGCTCACCTACACGTCAAGGAGAAGCTGAAAGTTAAATAGCCTCTCAAGACTATCAGCATAGGTAGGAAAACAAATGCAGCTGTAAGAACGTCCCCAGCGGCAAACGTAGGCAAATATTCCAACTCCATACAAATTTGAGTTAACTTTTACGTTAACGAGAACGTTAAAATACTCGCACTAAGCACACGGTTCGTGTTATGATTAATACACAAGCATAGGTAGGAAAAAAAAAGAGAATGCGCGTAAGTATATACATAGTTATTAGTGTTTTGTTTCTTCAAGCAGTCGCATCACTTGATCGACACAATTATATAACACAGGTGGTAGGTATGTACCTACCGATCTATTTATTCTTAGATTTCTGATATATTCAAAAGTTAAGTGAAGTTAAGTAAAAAATATATTAAAGTAAAAAATAATAATATAAAAGTTTCGATTGAAAGTTAACATTTACTAATATTAATCTTTAATGTGCTCTACGCTGTGCAAAAATGAAAACGGAGTCAAAATAGATCGATCAAAACAAAAGACAACATTAAACGGAAGAATAGAAAGATAGGAACAAAGTGTTTGAATAAAGAACCTCTTCTTGAAGTAGGCTATAAATAAACTAACGTGTAATAATATGATCGTTGTTGTGTCAATTAACTGTGGTGATTTGTGATTTATACGCCGCCCGGTTCGTAAAACATGATTCGTAAAACGATATTTTGTTCTTGACATGAAAAAAATGTTTTACGTTTGGTAACAGAAATAATTTGCAACTTTCAAAATGGAAAATTACTTTACCCTACCATTACCATTACAATGGTTTTAAATAATTACTGACCTTACTGATAAATAGCATTGAAATTCACTTTGTTACATCCATAAACTAACTTTTTTTATTGACTTTGTAGGCAGACGAGCATACGGCCCACCTGATGGTGAGTGGCTACCGTCGCCCATAGACTTCAGTAATGCCCGGGGCAGAGCCAAGCCGCTGCCTACCGTTGAGTATTCTCCACGAGTCTCGTTTGAACAAGGACAAGTCATAGCGCTCGGGAAACACCGTGGAGGGGAGCTCATACCAAAGCCGGATGGTACGTGGCAAAAAAGATTTTTGGAAACGCACTGTGGATGACCGCAGTGGCTCCAAGTAGTATGGATGAACTCTACTCCGGTGGCGGGCGGTGCGGTGGTAAAAACGAGATGATAGAATCATCTCAAACAATTCCTCAGATCTATTTATATCTTAATTAGAAAGGTTTGAAAAAGATTCATTTTATAAATCAAAGAATTAACCACTAGTTCACCTCGAGAATAGTTGATATTTAGCTAAAAAAATACGGTAGGTACTTTAAAAACGTTACGACTTTATGGTTGTATGAACAGATAATGTATTTTTTGCTTAGGCAGTGAGCCTAGTATTTGAATCAATTTAATGCAGTCTTGCCAGCCGTAGCAAAACCCGAGCCTTTCCCAGATCTTATAATTTATGTTCTTTTTATTTTGACTTTCACATAAATATTTTACATATAATTTATTCTTGACAGAAATTAAAATAGAGAGTTTGAACAATTTCTTTTCATTCAATGTTAATGGTGTGATACATTTTATTGTTAAATCTATATCACTAGTATAAAACAAAGTCGCTTTCTCTGTCCCTATATCTGTCTGTCCCTATGTATGCTTAAATCTTTAAAACTACGCAACGAATTTTGATGCGTTTTTTTTAATAGATAGAGTGATTGAAGAGGAAGGTTTTTAGGTATAATAACATCCATTAAATAGTGGAGAAATCAATAATAAATTACAGTTTCCGAAGCGAAGCGAGGGCGGGTCGCTAGTATTTATGTAAATAAAAATGAATTGCTGTTTGTTAGTCTCGCTAAAAGTCGAGAACGGCTGGACCGGTTTGGCTCATTTTGGTCTTAAATTATTTGTGGAAGCCCAGAGAAGGTTTAAAAGGTAGATAAATATGAAAATGCTCGGAATTAAATAAAAATAACAATTTGGTTTTTGTTTTGATGTGTCCCCCGTCGGACGGATTCCTTTTGTTTGTTTTAAGTTTATTTTATACAAAAGCTTAGGTCTGTTATTTATCGATTGAGGCACTACGAAATCTGCCGGGTCAGCTAGTAAATAAATAAAAGACTAGTGTTGCACTTCCTTCACATCCAACTAAATAAGAAAAGCATAATATTTAATTAATAAAGCGCATTTATAGAGTATCTACAATACAAAATATGATACAAAAATGAACGAAAACTATTTTGAAATATTTTACGTATTTTATTGATTTAAGAACCGGCAGTACATTGATTACTGCGATTTAAATGCAAACATGGATGCTTCGCGCTAATTGCGATCATTGTTTCATAGTTCCTTAACGCATCCGTTGTATTGGATTGCAACTTGACCATTATATCGTGATGCACGCGACTGTTTTTCATCGGTGCACTAGAGCGGGTGACGGGAGAAAAATGCGGAATTATGTTACACTGAAATAAAACGGTATCTATATTTTTTTTGATGCGACGGGTCAACGTACCTTTGTTGCTTTTGCGCCTAGTCATTTAAGTAGAAGAAAAAAAAATGTGTTTGTGTGCAAGTCACACACGTTAGAAGTGAAACTTGTATAAATAAGAATAATCGCAAGGGTCAACCGCCATCCACTCCGCAGTGCAATGGATGGAGCAGTCTCACCCTGAGGGAACCGCCTGCATGATCACGGTATCTCTACGCCAACTGTGTAACATCTCGTCATCGCGATTCAGGAATTGTTGAATTTACGTGCAGCGACTCCGTTGATAACAAACTAAATAGAAATAATTGTAAATCATCTTTTATACTATGAGGTACCGCCCTCTCTGAATTGATATTTTAACTTCAAGTTTCATTTTTTCGTTTCATCGAGTTTCAAATCACATCACAACGATTCTAAAGAAGTTTCACTTCAAAAAGTTATGTATTAAGAGTTTCAAAAGTAACAAGCACTACGACTATGAATGTATCTACAAGAATACTAGGTACTTAAGAAATGTCAATTGGATTTAGTGTTCCCATAAAAACAAGACATGTAAAAAATGATATAAAATATACATTGCTTCTGTGAATATTTTGAGAGCTTATCATTTCGGAATGAAAAGCATTTCATCGCATCAGGCGCAATCTTTTCTTTCTTCGTCCATCCATTTCCATGACCATCGTCGTTATTGTTTCCATTGATCTATGATTCTCCTCAATGAGCAAACGAGCTCATACCGATTAACTGGCGTTAAAATATTGCCTGAGTCTTTGGCATAACAATAAAAACTCCTCTTGCTCTTTCCATTCTTAAAACCGAAATAGATGACAGCTTCAGGACAGAAACAGATATTGCTCTCGAGTTCACAAATACATGTTCTTCTCGTTCTTCTTGTCTTTATCCTACATGTTATTATGTGGGGCTCTTATCGTATTGCATAGGGTTTTGAAATGAATTTTGCATACGGCCGCCCGCCTGATGTTAATCCTTGGCTAACGTCTCCAGTAATATATCCATTGCAGCGTGCCATTTGGGTAATTACGTACCGAGAAGCTGAAATAGTCTCGCAAGGCTATCAGCATAGATAGGAAATAAAAAAAATTAAAAGTGCCATTGGGAGGAAGTTTTCTGTTTAATCTTTTGGTGTTTTCTTTAATTCTTCATCCGTTTTATGATTTTCTTTGATTGTTATAAACATTCATTAGTTCAGAGCTCTCAATACGTACATCTATTGTTAGTAAACACGTTCAACCAATAAGACGGTTAATCCCTTTACTAGCAATTAATTAAGTAACATGCTAAAAAGCGGTGCGAGTGTTAAGTATATAAAAATCTTTAGTTATTAAAATATACATAATAATATGTACATGATCTATTATACGAAAAACTATATGAATCGAAACGAGATGAAGTTGATTAATTCGATGATTTAATCAATTGGGAAGTAATTAAATGAAACAAGATGAAATCGGATATTTTAAAGTCTCAGTAAAATGGTAGTTATTTGCTGAGATTCCAGTGGACCATTTGGAAGAACTCGAGAAGCGTCTTTTTTATATTGCTAAGATTAGTGCACGAGCTCATGGCCCATATTATGTGTATTCGCTGGTTACGGCAGTCTACAGATATCTACAACGTAAACGTGCTTACCCAGTCTTTTCAGTAAAATGGCCCGCCCTTAAACCGGCACTAAGGATGCGTGGCAGAAATAGGCAGAGTGGTGGTACTTATCTGTGCCGACGCCGTCCGAAGACGTCCTACCACCAGTAAATAACCAAATTATAATTTTTGTAGGTTTGATTTTTACTGCACAATGTTATCCCTCACCGTGAATGTCAATCGTGAACATTTGTCAAGTAAGCATTTCATTAGAAAAATTGGTACCCGCCCGCGGCATTTGAACACCGGTGCATCGCAAGATACGAATGCATCGGACGTCTTATCCTTTAGGCCACGAGTAGCCGCTTTGTTTCGTTTTCCTACATTTGTATACTTTCACAGTTGCTGAACAGTTATAAAGAATCGTAATTACACATTTAAACCTGAAGGAACAATAAATTAACAAAAAAAAGCGATCCATACAATTTCTAGAAACTATTGATATGGTTTACGAATTACGTACTTTTTCATTAGATTCAGTTTTGTTCCTTGTTAAATAAACATTACTGGTATGTATTTACAAAATAAGCGACTGTATGGGCTTAGTTTTCGTTGCCTAATCCATAGGTATATCAACCAAAAACTTGACATTTGACATTTTTGACAATTGACATTAATGTCATTAATAGATATTTTTCACTTTTTTAATCTAGTAATCTAGTTAAAAAAATGTGGTACATATATGTATGTACTTAATGTATTTTAAAACGATTTAAACAATTCTCATATAAATTTCATTTAGGATTTTTTTGTAAGCTATGGTATATGTAACTAAAATTCAAAGCAGAAATATAAAATATTGATCATTTGTAAAAATGTGGAGAAATTTGAGTTATGCTATATTTTTGCTGTCGTGGTATGTATGAAAAAATAGAATTTATAACCTACGTAAAGACTTTTTTTATACATTTTAAATTTATTTCATCTATTTCTGATAGGTTGACGTATGACAGAATGTTGCAGATTTTTATAAAAATAATGTTACATAAATCAGAAATATTGGCACGGTTGATGTGTTAATAATAAGTTTGTTTGCAGTTTTTTCATTTAAATTAGTTACACCTATTTATTGGTACAGTGAATTTGAAATAAAAACGAGACAGACTCAGTAACAACACAAAGACTGACTAATTGGCAATCAAACCCAGACCCATAGAGCAATACAGTGTAACAGGACAAGCATTAGTCAAATCTACAAAGAAACTTCCTATAAGTTAATCACTTCTTTACAAGAATAGCAAAAGAAAAAGATATGGGTGTCCTTATATTCAGTGGTTATATAGTTGAGATACTCTCCTTAATTAGTCACCCAATTAAAATCTTAACTGAATGATCATATATAAAATTTGCCTGCAATTGAGATATAATAAAATATGTCTATGATTGCAAAAGTTTTTTTTTATTTTTATTTTATAAATACAATTGTAAAAATAAACCGTCATCAACTGTAATGGCTTCTAGTAATCACCAGTTGTTACCAATTACAACTTGATCACAAACTCCTCTGCACTGTGTTTCATGAGTTCCGTTAATGCTTCTTCAAATGAGGTTTAAAAAACACCTAAGCAGCCGCCCAGCTATCCTCTGATGTCCATGAGCATAGGTGACCACTATATTATAAGACAGACAACATCATCACTGTTAAGGCAAAAAATTAATCAAACTTGATTGAAAGGGTTTAAATTTAACTTTGCAGTTTCACATATGCAGAACTAAGCGACACAAAAAATAATGAGTGGGATTTTCTAATATTCACGCAACACTGGCCGGCGACTATATGCAGAATATGGATGGAGAAACCTACGCACTCTTGTATTATGCCACACGAGCAGAATTCATGGACTATTCATGGTATATGGCCAAATAAAAATCACTCCATGGGACCATTTTTCTGTAATAAGACTTGGTCATTTGACCCCGATCAAGTTAAATCCATTGAAACAGACTTGGAAGAATCTTGGGGCAATATTGAGAAAGGTCAGTGTAAATGTATCATCATATTATTATATGAGGTTCATATATACATATGTGCATATATGTATATATGAACCGCATATATGTATATATATGCATGCATACATGAACATGTTTTTAAATGAAAATGTAAGATAGATGGCCACAGTTGACATTAATAGATTTTGTCTCAGTTTTGAATGTTATTTAGAATTTATAATTTTTTTTAGTAATATTTTATATGTTTTGCTTAGCCTTGACAGCAATACTGCCATCTCCACATTATGTAAATTATGCTATTAATTGATGTAATTCTGAGTTACACATAAAAACTTTTGATTCTTATTACAGAACAATCATTGTACAGTTTATGGGCCCACGAATGGACAAAACACGGTACTTGCGCCGCATCAATCGAGCCCCTTAACTGCGAGCTGAAATACTTCACGAAAGGGTTAGAATGGCTGAAAAAGTATACCATGAAAAATATTTTGAACAATGCAGGTATCACCCCTTCAGACATGAAAGAGTACAAAGCTATTGATTTTCATAATGCTGTGAAAACTAAACTTGGATTTAAACCAATGGTTGAATGTCACAAAGTTGACGGTAAACAATTTTTGTTTGAAATACGCATATGCTTCTCGAAGTCACTTGAATTGATTGACTGTGAAGACACACATATGACTAATACGGATATTATTACGAATTGTAAGCCAACTGAAGGAATTATATATCCGGTAACTGAGAAACCTCCCAAAAGATATTTGATACAGCTTCATAGATTATTGTCATGGTTACGTTGGTTCACAGTGTAAATACTATTTATTCACTACAAAGAAGCCTTCAAGCCAATCTACAGTTATCCTAGTGAATCAGGTAAAGCCTCTGAGCCCCCCATACATCCCATAAAAATTATAAATTTCAGTGGCCATCATCGTGACCTTAAATTTTTACATCAAACAAGGCAATTAATCAAAACTTCTATTTGCGTGTCTCTTAGTGTGCTGCAGTATTTCTTTTTTCAATTAACTCAACAACTTGGGTAAAAACACCATTCAACCCAATATTCGTAATTTATCTACATCATGCATAAAGTAGCAAGAATATCAGCTTCACGTCAGAAAAAGCATGATGGTAGTACTTACCCATACTGACTTGCAATTACGCCATACCACCAATAAATACGATTTTGTTTTTTATTAGTCATATTGATTCATAGCGGAAGCAGTAGGTATGATAGTACACACTTCAAAGTTGTGTGGGAATTAAAATGATTATATTATCTGACACGTGATTCGAACACAAGCATAGTCGCTTCGCTTAAAACGACTACACCGTGTCTTTTCCGTTAGGCCACAATGATTCTAGTTAAAAAAAAATTATTTTAAATAAAATGATGGCACTTATGCAAGTACTTAAAAACGTTAAAGGCATAGAACAGTACCTACTTAATTAAAGTTTACAAAATTTTAAAGGATTAAAGTTAATCATTATTGGAGAAGTGCTTAGACAATTATTTTTTATTAGCGGAATTATTAAATAATTATAGAAAAATCATCAACATGACATATAAACAATTAATTAATCAATATTTTTTAAATTCATACTTTATGACTGTCATATTTTATTTTAATATTTAATGAAATCTGTGAGTACCTATTCCTAACAACAATACCTGATAATTTTCTATAAAGCTCTTTTACTTCTTTGATATTAATTCCAAATCAAGATTTTTCTAACAATTTTAATAAAATTACTAAATATATATTTCATTGATCTGTGTTTCCTATTATTATTGGAGTCCTAATTTGGCCTGAATTATCTATTTATCCTTTGTATAAATTTGTACTAATGTTTGAATGTTAAACAAACAATCACAAATCATGTTGTACATTTGTCTTGTATGTATATGATGGTGGAACCCATAACTTAAAGAAATACTAGCTTCGGTATGAAAATGAAATATAGAACGCAGGAGGTGTTGTTGTTTTATTTTGTTTTCGTTTTAAATATACTGAAACTGAATAGATTTGATATGAAATGGTTGGCATAAAAAAGCGCAGCATGATCATTGAATGCTAGTCAAAATTATATTATAATATATAGCATAACAAGATTAATCAAAACAGGATATATTATTACATTAATATTATAGCCAACATTTTCATATTTTATTACATTATTATTACGATTTGATTATTTAAATATATTTTATATTTCTTGCACATATTCATTCAATGTTTACATGCAAATCATTTTACGATAAGTATCTGTAATATGTATATTTTTGAAATAAAAATTTTATATGCACCACAAATCTTTATTTCCCAAATGGATATTAATTTGTATAACCCATGTCCTGTTTTGTGACACTCAGGCCTATTCTGAAGATAAACTGAGTTATTGTTCTAACTACTGTCCTTGGCTTTTCGAGACTATAATCACTGCAGATGGTACAAGACCTGAAATTGACATGAATAAATTACTTAACTTAATAATGAAATAACAAATCGCCTCCTTAGCCTCTACACAACGCCCCCTTTTTTTTTGCGTCTCTTACCGCCCCCCTTTTAGGCCTGCAGCGCCCACAAGAGGGCCTTATCGCCTACTTTGGGAAAGACTGCGATAAATCAACTGTTATATACTGGGTGTTAGGATACCGCTTCCAAAAACGAAAACAGACGATAGTACTTATGACACCTTTGATGATGGGACGGAAAAAAGTCAATACTGATTTTTTTAAATACATATTTTTAAAACGTTTTATTTGATTTATTTGCGCGATAGTGTCACGATGGACCAGTTTGTTTGCTCATTGTCTAGGTGTTTATTATCTATTTACGTATATAAGTATATGTAGGTTATAATGTTTGTCTCTGGTATCCATAGCCCAGGGAATTCTAATTTGGGGCTTGATACATGATTTGTTCCCAGTTATTATTATTATTATTACATGGCAATACTTACAAAATAGGGGATAAGTAATATTAAGCTAATTGGTAATCATCATAATAAAAAATATATAACGAATAATATTTTACCCAAAAAATCCAGCGGTTTATCATAATCTTCACTGGTAAATACTTTTTTTGGAAATGTGGTCATTAATTTGTAGTTATCTGATTGTGCATATTCATGTGCATGCATTTGTAAATACAGTCTGTAAAAAAGTAAACAATGTATTAATATAAGTATTACTTAATACAAATGTATGATTTTTTATAAACAAAACCAAAGTCAAATATATGGATAATAGATAATCACAATATGGTGTTGTGAATTCCTATTTGAACATTGAGAATTCTGTTATTGCATACAATTATTTTCTATTTAATAAATGAGCAATTAGCTTGATCTACACATCGATAGCAAAAAAAGGAAATGGATTTATAAATGTTAAAAAAGAAATTGCACATACAAGTTTGTGACATAATTTAAGAGATCATGATGTTCTGACTACACTACACTTGGGGTCACAGACAGCCCAAAGTCATGTTATAGTTTACATTTATTTGTTACAGAAACATTGTTTCTAAGTGTATACTATATATAGATATATACATGTTACATTTAAATTAACATTACATCATTGGAAATACATTAAGTTGGTTCTTTTTTGCCATTACTATAGACTTTTAGCAAATATTTTTATATTTACCGTACTGCAGACAACTGTTCTTTAGCTCCAAATGTCTGTGAAAGAGCCCTTCCGTCGGGTAATCGCAGTTGTATTCTTGCTTGCTCATATGATACTTTGGGGTTTGGAGCTGTTGTTGGTATGGCGGCAGGGGTGGGTGCTGGGACTGAAGGTGCTGCTGTTTTTCCTAATGCTGCTAATCTGAGAATTGAGTTTATTTACTAAATTAACAATGCAATCAAAGAATAGTTTGTGATAAAGTGATTCATTGAAATCTGTATTTGAAAAATTCATCATCAATCAATGATATGCATATTGCAATATACATATATGGTAGATAATTGTCAGAAGCTTTGGTAAAAAAAAAAAACCACCTGGCCAATAAAGGTTATGTACAATATTATCATTATCATTAAACAGTATATTTGGTTTGCTTGTTTATTACAAAGAGACCTACTTTCTAGCCTGTTTGTCTGCTTCTATTTGAGCACGGACACGTTCTCTAGCCTTCTGGTCTTCAATTTTCTCCATCCTTCGTTGTTCAACCAGTTTTTGCATCTCTTGCTCTTGAAGTCGTTGCTTGGCATCTTGTAATTCTTTACCAGACTTGATTCGATCACGTTCACGATCAAGAGCTTCAGCCTGAAATTGAACAAATTATCTTGTTTTTTTTTTGGTTGATGGTTCATGCTCCAGCTTCATCGTTAATTATTTCACTGTCAGTCACATAACATATAAATTATATGTGGAATAAGCCACTATTTAAACACCACATCAACTACACCAGTCTCTCAAATGTACGGTAAGAATAGTTCCTTGTTACACTAAAATAAAATAATAATTTTGCATTATAAATAGGCAAGGTGGTCCCAATGCAGTATATGGACAATATCATATTCATTTTATATTTAATCTGTTAACGATACTAAACTAAAAATCTTCCCCAATGTGCCAATAAATTTTCAATCTAATATTGTTACATATACGCAAACAACCCTGACAATATTCTATAATCATGACATTGTCTTAACTTACAAAACTCAACTTTACACCAGAGCCATAAAGCTATTCCAAAAATTCATCTCATATTATTTTTATAGAGATATAAAGTTGAAAATTGGCATGTATTTATAATAATATGGTAAAAAGTGATTTAGCACAAAATGCAAGTTACAACATTTATGCTTTCTCATGTCGATATAATCAGTAATGTGTAGACATATTTAAGTTTTTATTTATTGTTAGAATTATGTTTTAAGCTTAGTGAGTAGGAAATATTCAGTATTTAATCTAACAAATCTATTATGAAATTTTAGTGATACCTTTTCTCTTTCTTCTCTTTCCTTACGCTTTTGTTTCATTCTCTCTTCTAGGAGCGCCAGTTGTGCCTTCTTTTCCTCTTCAGTTAATGGTTTTTTTTCTTCAGTAGACTCTGAGAAACTACTGTGATTCGTTTTTGCAGCGTGGTACTCAATCTCATCTTGATTTTTGAACAGCTTCCCACATTCGTCGCATTTTAAAGACTTAGCATCACTTTCTTCTGCCGTAGGAGTCTCAGTCGAAGGAGCCGGAGTTGAATCAGGGACAGGTGCTGAAGACTCGCCAGCTTGTGAATTAGAGGGTTCCGAGGATACTGCGAGGTCCTCAGCGTGAGCCAAAAGCCACTCCATGGCAGGCTCTACACCCTTATAATTGGTCACGGCTAAAGCTTTTTCTCTAAAAACACAAATCATTGTGAATTGTTTTAATTTGGTATAACCTCCAATAATTTATAAGTGTAAATACATACGCTCGTTCTTTGGGAAAACCCATCTCGATCAATGTCTGTATTTCTGCCATTATTTAAGTTTGCAAATAGTATGTTTATCGTGAAATTAGCAACCTTTTATTTTCAATTCTAATCATTACTCAGTCCACCCGTCAACGGTTCTGTGACAGACAGCAACTGACAAGTGAACCTTGTCACTTGTCAGTTGTCATGGGTGTCGTTGTCACTCCTGAAGTTAATACCTAAGTACCTACAAAATACCGTAAAATGGGGCGATTAGGGACAAATTCCAACTTTATGAGCAATTTTAAGGTAGTTGTTGATGTATATAATGCTATATCAGGATCAAAATGATTGAGTCTTGGGGGCATCTTTGTTGTCTAATTTAAAATTATGCAACTAGCATTCCAGTTTAAGCGAAAAATGCAAAAATAGGTGTAATCCCTATTTACCCGAAAATTGCGGTTAATTGGGACGAAATGAGATATTTGCTAGGGTTGGCACTACTTTTATTTTTGTATATAGTTTTAATTTATTTATTTATTTAGTTGCACCAACAAAGTGATCATCAATAAAAAAAATTGAAAAACTGACAAAAGTACATGGCAGACATCACCTCAATTATAGGTGCAATCGACAGTGCTGATATTTCTATCTGGGTTAAGAGATTAGGTGTGTCGGTTATTCCATGGATTAATCAGATGAATACCCCCACTGAACAAATATTAAATATTTTATTATGCATTACTTAGACATTTTTGTCCACTTTGAGATTTCATTGATCTTGTTACATGTCTCTGCAAAATCGACTTACTTATATTAAATTGCTTATCTATTTCAACTAAAGACTTATTCCCAATTTCGCTTCGAATAAACCAGATTTTTACCAACAAATTTAAAAAATATTGTTATAACTACATAGACAACCCTACAAACCTGTACCTATTTATACTTAGGTCGTTTCCATTTCACGTATTCTCATCCCAATTGACCCCTTTTTCGTTGTTATTTGTACCTAAGACGTCCCCAATATCCCCAAAAACAACAGATTTTTACATGTATTTTTATTTAATCAAATACATTAAAACCAATAACAACTGAGACTTACCTTTAATATATATGCTGGTTCAAACACTAAATAACGTTTATAAATCATAGTCGTCTTCTATTATTATCAAATAAATAAAAGAGAGCAAAGTTTCTAGCACTAAAATAATTACCACCACAGGAAGTTAATTTGAAACGCGATTTTTTATAAGTTAGCAGCTATTATCATGCATATTCAGAGTTGTTTTGTGAACTTTCAACATTCTACTATTAAACTACAAAAAAATGGAAGATTTTGCAACGAATATAAAACTTATATTGAGCGTCGAAAGATTTTCCCGGTTTTTTCCCGATTCGCCTTTCAATCCCTAATCGCCCCATTTTACCGGTACTAACTGTGTTGTCGTGAGACGCATCAAGTCTGCCCCTTCCAACACTACATGACGATCACGACCACTCTGTCAAGAGTGACACGACTGAGAAGAAGAAAAGTTGTCACTAAGGCCTAGGCCGCACTACGGTTTTTTCCCGGGAGCGGTTAACCGCTGTAACCGCGAAACCACTTCATACGCACACACTACAATTATTAACCGCGAATTCGCCCGCGATTTTCACAGTTTGAAGATGGATAAATTTCAAAAGAGCAGTAGCAGTGTGGCTCTGGTACTAAGAAATAGATAAAAAGACAACGAAAATTTTACAAATGTTGGGTCTATCGACTTTCTAGCCGTAGATTTGAGAAAGGTTTCTTTCATAAGAAATATCGAAATTTAAAAAAACCCCTAGAGAAATTTTTCAATTACTATCGGATGTCAGTAGCCAGTTTCATGGAAACAAAGTTTCGCAAATGTATTTGACATTTCAAAAAAACCGCCCGCGATTACGCATAGTGCGTGCACGGATACCTAGTTCTATGGATTACAACTTTTCTTGCGGTTTTTTTCCGCGACAATTTTGTAACATTTCGCGGTTTTAAAATCAGTCGCGGGAAAAAACCGCAAGTGCGGCCGCTTGTATTCGTTTTCGTGTTTCATAAGCTCACACGGTTATTAACCGCTGCGGTTTCACCGTAGTGCGGCCTAGGCCTAAATTACAATATCCAACTTTATCCAAGTGTCATCACAGGCTTATAATAATAATTATAATGGTTTTGTGCAAGTAAAAAATTAGAAGTAGAGGATAAAAGACATGATTTTTTGTTTATTCTTATTCTCCTGCTCTATGTCAGTATCGAGATTGTCGTTTCACGATGTCGTTGTTGCCATTGACCCGGTAACCGTACTCGTCGAACTAAACAAAGAGTTCGCCGTGCAACCTAACCCATGAATCAGCTCGCTGAGTTTCTCGTCGGATCTTCTCAGCGGGTCGCGATTCCGATCCGGTAGTAGATTCATTCGCGAAGCAGCTGCTCTTGAGCTGTTAGGTCTCCTTCGGAGGCGCTCGGGTAGCTGTTAGCAAATCCCACCCCTCCTGGCTGAGCCTTTGCTCGCCCACCTGTCCTGGTGAAACTGGAAAGGCCCACGGGCCACCAGTAATCCTTCAATAATAAAAAAAAAAATTGCCATTGTTTTACGATGTCCACCCAATGCTGATAGTAGTCTCTTCATATACACTCCATTCTTTTCGGTATCTTGCCTTTCGCATCCAGTACCTACTGGTGGTAGGACCTCTTGTGAGTCCGCACGGGTAGGTACCACCACCCCGCCTATTTCTGCCGTGAAGCAGTAATGCGTTTCGGTTGGAAGGGTGGGGCAGCCGTTGTAACTATACTTGAGACCTTAGAACTTATGTCTCAAGGTGGGTGGCGCATTTACGTTGTGGATGTCTATGGGCTCCAGTAACCACTTAACACCAGGTGGGCTGTGAGCTCGTCCACCCATCTAAGCAATAAAAAAAATAAAAAATGATAACATTATGAAACAGTCAACAGACAAATATATATAATTGTTAATCAATAACCGGTTTCATTGCTAAACCGAACGTCTTATCCGTTAGGCCACGACGACTTCAAAACTTCTGTGTTAATTTAAAGTTTACAAACATAAAGTTTATCTCTCTCTATCTTACTCTCTCAAAATCAATAGAAAAGGAGACATCACAATTCATAGGCAATATTATGTAGTATTAAATTTGACTTTACGCACAGCCAATATTTTTTATATTGAAATTTGACATATAATTTCAAAAAAGAAAAATATAATAAGTGAAGATATTTTATTGTTGAAACGTGCGTATGTAATGTATTGTTTTTAAAGGGAGTTCAGCGAGAAAAAGTTACAGTCTCATAATATGGCCACACGGAAAAGCAGAAGAAAAAGTGTACAGAATAGCGATCCTGGCAAGATATTGGATTTAGTGATGAGTCTTTCTGAAGACAATTGTGCACCATTAATAGTAAAACAAAATAATTACGTGAGCGACCTTTATCGATACATTTCTTGTTTATTAAATTTTAATAGCGTCTTATGATGGAGCGAGGATTGTGGAACTCATTTCTACATTTTTAACTGTGTAGGTATTTTCTAGCTCGGAAAAAGCGAGTCGGACAACTGTTGCTTTAAGTAAACAGTTCTGCAAAAAAAGTGAACAATCACAATTAAATTCAAAATGACGATAAATTTAATAAAAAAGCAACGATTAATCATGAAATTATAAATTGGAATGGGAGATATTGCAGTGTACTCATGTGGTCTGTAGTAGGATAGCCGTTACGTTGTAGGTACTAATTTAGATCTAATGTCTCAAAATGAATGACAGAGCTTACGTTATGGCGGGTAATGACTCTGCTAATCTCTAACTGTCATGAAATCGTCTTCCTGTATTAGCTTTTTTTTAACACGTTGACTGCCGTGTAGGTCACGGGTGCCTTACGCGGCGCACTGAAATACTTATGTCGATTTCTGTTACTAAGTGCCTGGATAGCCTAACTATGCTTTCTTTTGTTTGTTAATGTATGTTTTAGTCTTTTAGGTCTCTTAGAAATAGATTCACATAGTATCTTTGTATTCGTCTATCCTAAACTCTACTAGATATTCCGGCGCCTTAGTAAGAAGATCGAAGAGATAAATCTACCTACATAATTACTTCAGTGCGCCACGTAGGGCACCGGTGACTTACATGGCGGTCAACGCGTTAAAACTCATAGCTCTGGCCCAGCAAAAAAGAATCAGAAGCCAAAAAAATAACATAAATAAATTAACGCCGTATCTACGATCCAAGTTACCCTTTACTGGGGCTTTAGAATGAGAAAACTCCTCACGATACGAACTATCTCAAAACCAAGCACTTTCTGTTCTAAGTCCTTGACTAAGCCAAAGCATGTCTTAAGGCGTTAGCCGAAGCTTAACGCTATCAAACTGTGCGCCGACTTAATTAGCATTAAAATTAATTAATAAAAAATAAAACTCATTTTTAAGTTACAAATAAACATTAATTACAAAATTAAATAAATAAAGCAAATTTCTTAAAAAAATTAAATTCTGTTTTTCGGTTACTTCCGTCATAGTTTTATAAATACGTGGGGAAGAGCAAAGGGCTCAGATTTTGGGAGCCAGACAAAGAATTGTTACTATACTTCGGAGGCATGAACAAACGATTTTTGTTCATACCTCAGTAGTGTTATCAAATTAATTTATTGATAATACAATTTTTATCAACGCAGCTGAAAGAGGAGTGCAATGCCGAATTCGTTATACAGATCATAGTCAACACTGAACGAATGGAAGCGTACATAGAGGCAATAGGATCGACATTGCTGCAGAGAAAATATAACATCCAAGTAGATATTCAGAGAATGCAGTTTTCGACGAATTTTAATTATTTGTTCACATAAATAACATAAAACACTATCCTTCCAGATGCCGTTAAAATTAATTGAAACACTCAAATCGTCTGGAGATCAAACTGATTTATTGAACAATTTTGAAACAGACTTCCAGACAATATTGGCTCCGGTAAAAAAACTGTAACCAATTTAAAAAGTGGAAATTTACTTTAAACTTATTAATTAGGCATTCAGAAAGTAAGCTAGGATAACGTTACTAATAATTTTACCTGATTGCCATATGACAGTGTCTGTCGATTTAAAATATCAGGCATAAGGAATATAGGCATAAGGCATAATGCCGAAAGAATCAAACTAGGTAATTAAGTAGGTACCTAGCTTAATTCTATTTAGTAGGAACCTTGGCGGGAACGTGAGGAGCGTCATTGTGTGATTTTTTTTATTCTGCTAATTTAGTTTTTCTTTAAGTTTAAACTTGCGATAATGGTATAACTAGCATCTGTGGAAGTGCACAAGTGTGGGAAAATAAAACAAAGTACCTAGCTGTACGTGGCTTCTAGAGTTCTTCAAAAAAGTTCATTGATGTCTCAGTAAATTTTCATCATTTAACTTCGTCAATTGATTACAATGGCGTATAATTCAACTTCACCTCGTTCCGATCATTTCATATAACAGAATATGTATGTATTTTGTTACAATAATTGAAAATTATAATAAACTCGCCATTGACAACAATGGCATCGAAAGAACCCGTTTGCCGCGCTGAAAAACACTACTAGGAGATATTAAGTAAATAATCTATGATTATGAGTCCTACGCTTTCTATCGGTTTACCCGCACGTGGTATCCAACAAAAACATCGCTTCTAACACAATGTTACAACAATTTTTTTTTTAATAATTACCTATTTCGATTTATTTTAGTACTTCCCCAAAGACAGTTCTAAGAAGCATCTTGTTCTCTATCCGGTGATTGACAAGCCCTTCTCAGTTATTGTCTGCGTGGTAGCCCCAAAAACGTCTGAGGACGCAGTGCCGGTCATCATTCGTGAATGCTTCTTGTGAGTTTGTCTGGTTAATCTCAATAACAGTATGCCTATTTTTAAGTCGTTCTTTTTAGCTTGTCCTGTGTATCGAACAGAATGTTTTAACGTAATTTTTGAACCAACTTTAAGACAATACAATAATAATTTTATTACTTCGGCGTAATATTTTGACCAGAAGATACATATAGATAGAAAAATATTCTGTTTAACCTATTCCTCAGAATCGTCTTCTTTAAGCGAGTAAAGTTCAAAAATAACAATCGAGTGTGATATTTTAATAATAATAATAATAATAAATAAATAATAATAATGATTACAAAATCAAGGTAATGTATCATCTCAGTTAAGCTACAATGTGTAGCGGGGACTTAAACTTACGTTGCGTTCTGTTACAGACGCAATTAAAGGTAACGGTAATTAAAGGGATGATACATCCCCTGTAATCACCAATGATGCTCAGTAAGCAGAGTAAGAAATCTCTTGGTAATAGTCACCCCTCAGAGCGGTCTCAAACAATAACTACTTTCTGCCAATTTTTAAAATTCAATTGTTTGAGAAATAGAATTAAAAAGTGAAATCTCTCCAAAAATTCTTTTTTTTAAACTTAATCTGGAAACTCAGATGACAGTACGAAACGCGTCACCCAGCCTGCCTTAGATGAGTCTGGCCTTATCCGAAGTCCGGACGCGGGCTTTTGAACCACAGGGGATTATAGGAGATTTCGGTCCGACATGCCCCGCCTACCGCACCCAACGCGTAGTTGGAAGCCCGAGGATTTCTTCTGGACCCCTAAAAAAATTCTTAGCTACCATGTAGTCTTAGTTATTTTTTGTAAATCTCTATGGAACTACAATTGAGACCATAGAGAACATGTCGCACGAAATTTAATATAATTATCATTGTTGTTTAGATTCACTTGGCCGACGTTGAAGAAGGCCATTTCTTTAGAGCACGAATGCTCGTTGAAACAGAAGTGCCAGCAGTTGTTGAAGGTTGCCAAAAGACTATTTACCCAAGTATGTGACCGTAATCGATAAGTAAAATTTGATTAACCATTGTTAAGGTGTTATGAATAGTTAGAGCAGTTAGAGAAGAGTATACAGAAGAGAATTTGACCAAGGGTATCGAGACAGAATTAGATTTTTGATATTTCTAGGCTACGGTTATGTATTATAGATAAAGATAAAGAAGCCTTTATTCACAACCTTAAATCATATTTAGGTACATACTATTGATGTGAAACATCTATAGCCGCACCTAAAACCGATTTCTGGCGTGGAGACGCATGCCCGCTATATGATGCAATATATACAGTCTATATGCAGTAGTGTGTACGGTGTGGCGACGCTTCGCCATGCGCAATCGACTGTGCGATTCTCTCTGTGTTTTACTTGAAAACAAATTATTTTTTCCTAATATTTTATTTTATCATTATGACATATTTAGTTCCTATCACAATCTGTTCTTTTCTGCATATTACTTTTACAAAATAATGTCGATGTTTCACATCTGCCAGGCGTCCCGTGACGGCTCACCTTGTTTTTTTAATTTAATTTTTCTTTTTTTTTCTCTTTGCATTTGACATCGGCAAAGACTGTTTTGCTTTCGCACAGGCTTCTTCCAAATCCTGCCATAAGTCCGGGTCGTGGCATTTCCTCTTCCACGTAGAGCCTGCAACGGCCTATAAGTCGTCTGTCTACTTACCTTTGGAACGGTCGTCCTTTTAATCTTTCCCCTATCGAGTGTACCATTCGGTTACTAATTTAGCTCATATTTCTGTTTTGCTTCGTATTAAATAACCTATCCATTTCCGCTTTAATTTTTAATTGTGTATGATACATCCGTTACTTTTGTTTTCATACGAATGTCTTTTAATTTTACTTTATCCTTTCTTTTAGCATTAAACATGCTAATCTCCATACTATGCTGGCATGTCTGTAGTTTTTTATGTTCTTCTGAGTTAAATTACCTATTAATAAATCTAAAATCGGATATAAATTCCAGCTCGGGTATGTTTTTACGAATAGAATTTTGTTTACCAAACAGGTGGCATCATTGGAGACGTTGCTAAAAATTGCCATGGAACAAGCCAAGCAGTTGACCAAAGCGGAATACTGCTCGGTAATGCTTGTGGATGCCTACAAAATGGAGTTGGTCGACTCTTTCAAACAGGTCATCACTAGATGTAGACACAGCTATTATTATAATTCGTTCTCGTGTTTTTAATAATAAAAAAATAGTCTATGGAATTGATTTGCTCGTTGAAATTCAAAATACGGGCGCCATTTTTTCTTCTTGTGCGTTGCTGGGACCTGAAGATGTTAAATATAAATTGTAATTTCAAATCAAACGATCCGTTCGTTTGAAAATTTGATAATATTAATTATTCATAGTCAGTCATAGATAAGTCAGTCGTTTGTGGAACGTCTGTCATCCCAATAGTCGTTGGCGCTACCGGGGTAGTAGCTAAAAGTATTACAAGATACCTAAATAAATTGGACAGCAACATTAACGTTGATATCCTACAGAAACAGGCTGCTATTCACACATCAATTATACTTAGTAAGGTGCTTGGAGACAGAGTATTCGTACATAACACACAAAAGCACTTCACACAAAACACGCCACGACCGCCAGACATACAACAGCCACTCGACACACAACATTCATCAAACACACAAAATCCAACAGACACCACTCATACAACGGCAACACAACAGCCAATAACGCAGCGAGGAGGACGACGAGGAAGAAGAAGAGGCACTACTCACGCACAGTAACACACGCTGGGGTTCTCTACATCATTTAGTCATTTTCTATTCTTTTTTTTTTTCACATAAAATATCATTAAAATTTTGGGGTATAGATATCTTTTTTCCTGTGGGAAACGGGACGGGATATTTATCAAAGCCGACACAAGTCGAGGAAGAATAACCTAAAAAATATTATAATATAATATTAATTTAATTGTATTTAACTAATAATTATTTTTTCTAATAATAATTAATTATTCTAATAAAAATTAATTGAAAAAAAGTGTTATCTAAAACTTTTTACAAATGGTATTTTAAAATATGAAAAAGTACATTATATTAAATAAAAATCTTTATTATGTTCTATTTGTGAATGAAATATCGCATAGTCATAGGTTCAAGTGACTTCGTATTTGATTCAGGATGATAAATATTCGGAACGACGGTTTCCTATGGACATCGGCATCGCCGGGGAAGTGATAAAAACCGGAGGATTGATCAATGCGAAATCCGCTAAAGAACATCCAAATTATGATCCTCTTATTGACGGACTGCCGGGAATAGATTGCAAGTCAGTTTAAAAACAATAAATAGAATGATTATTTATCTGTGGATTTGAATACAATCACTCATTCAGTTACTCTCAAACTTTAATATAACACGCTTTTTTTATTGCTTAGATATGTGGACGAGATCACGGACCATCTGGTTAAGTCGCTAGTTAAGAAGCACATAGACATCTACAACGTAATTGCCGCCACCCACCTTGAGACATGATTTCCAAAGTTTCAGTTTTTACAGTACAACGGTTGCCCCGCCTTTCAAACAGAAAGGCATTTCTGCTTCACGGCAGAAATAGGCAGGGTGGTTTCATAACGTAAAATCGACTTAAAAATTTTCAAACTCATCACGGACCGATGACAACACAATAATAGTATTTCTTTAACATGATAATGAAAATAACTTTATTTTAAACTTTTAGTTGGGTTTACTATTAAAACGTGTTTTTTTTAAACTTAGTATGCATTGACAGTGACTATTTACAATAAGATAGGTCGTATGCTTATCTGCCAACAATAATAAAACTACACATATAATATATCTACAATGTGTATTTAATGAAGTACAAGTTGGTAAGAAAATGTTAGCTATGAATGTGGAAGGATATAGAGGAAGAGGTAGACCTAAGAAGAAATGGATGGATTGCGTGAAAGACGATATGGGTAAGAGGGGAGCGAAGAAATGGCATATGATAGAAGAGTATGGAAGGAGAAAACATGTTGCGCCGACCCCAGGCAACTGGGAGAAGGGCAGGATAATGATGATGATGATGATGATTTAATGAAGTACAAATATATAATATGCATATTGTCAATATAAGATTTGAAGTTTGCGATTCTCTCTCAGTTTGGCAAAATGTTTCCAAGTTACTAAAGGTGAACTCCAGCAGAAAAGCGGCACCGTAGGGTAGGTAGCTGGAGAAGGTGTAAATGGTGGTTCCCACTCGTGCGGTTTTAATTACTCAAGTTATAATATTTGATAATATAGTTTGTGAGTTTATATTTTTAATACACGATGTTATTCCTTCATCGTGGAAGTCAATCGTGAACATTTGCTTAGTGCGTATTTCATTAGAAAAATTGGTACCCGCCTGCGGGATTCGAACACCGACGCAGTCGCATCGCGTATAGGAGTGCACCGAGCGTCTTAACCTTTTAAGCCACGACGACAACGTCAACTGCCCTCTTGAAAAAATCAACAAAAAAAACGATCCAAATTGTTTTCCATTTTTAATTAATCAATTATCAATTAGGTCCGTGCATGTATTCCTAACAGGTCAATTCGGAGCTGGTTTAAAAGATCAATGTTACATTTTAGAACGATCCTTTGCTTTCCCATACGGGAACAGACCGGAATAATAGGCGTGGGGCAGCTCATTAACAAGATCGGCGATCCATACTTCGACGCAATGGACGAGGAAATGGCGCTGGCGTTTAGTGTCTATTGCGGCATATGCATCATACATTCCGTGGTCTATCAGAAAATACAAGAAGCCCACATCAGGAACACACTGGCTATAGAACTTGTCATGTACCATATGAAGGTATCTGTTTTTTTATTGCCTCAATGGACATTCTAGCGGCCAATGCGATGGAAAATTGCAGTGAAGTAAATGTAAGTAGTGCAGATTCATTCATACTATCTTCCCTTAATGGTTTTTCCTGAGCGTCATGACATGTTTTTCTTCAAACGAAGTTTGTGGAAGCCGTAAATATCAGCTTAACTGTGCCTCAGATATTTATGATATTCACGAACGATGATGACCACTCATTATCAGATAGACCGTAAGTTGATCTGCCAATAAAGGCGATGAAAAAATGAAAGCAAAACTACCAATTCAACGCATATCTGTTAGAAAATAAGGTTTATGTCTTTGATTTATTGTTGTTTCGATTTAAACCAGTGCTGTGTTCAGTCAAAAGTGTCTTAGTACTTCAGGGTAGGTTTTCGTTTTCATAGCACCATCAATTTTTGTAGTACAATAGATGGTAAGACGTCAATTTTGCGTAAGTGTTAATGTTAAGACGTCGCGTGAGTTGGATCAATTGCTACCACCGATCTGCCTATTTTTGGCAGTCATTGATTCCGGCTTGAAGGTTTAGCGGTTAGCTTATAAAAAAAAGTAAACATTACAAACATAGTAATCATTTAAATTTTATCAATGCCGATTATTGTAACTGAAACTGTGTATCGAATAGACTCTAAATTGTATAATAGCGACGAAATCAATACTAATGCATGCCAGCCCTGTTAAAACAAGGTAGCTTACCATGAGCACTCGTGAACACAGTAAAAACTCCGTATTCGTGCTTCCTTCATTCACGTTTTCACTACTCGCAGATTTAAAAAAAATGCGACCCGATCCCTGTTCGCAGCTAAAGATTTCTTTATTCACGGATTTAATCGGCACATGGGTACCTACATACACATTGATAAAAAAGGATTCCAATATCCAACCGAATATCCTTTGTTAGCACGCTTTTCCATATTCACGGCTTCTGTATCGCGATATATGCACGAAACGTATACCCAGCGAATAAAGAGCTTTTACTTTATACTTCATTTTACACACCTACAAATTTTGTGAGCGAAAATAAAAATACTTGTATTTGCGTCTGTCCGCGTAAAACGCTTACATAAACTCGCCGGAGCTCATCAAGTTCATTCCGCAGGTGGGTGACGCTGAAGTAAACCGTCTAACTCAATGTACCGGCTTCCACAGCCACCCACACTTGACCAGTCTCCATTTCAATCCGAGGGCCCTTTCCCTCAGAGAACTTCCTTGTTACGTTATGAAGATTTTCGTTGATCTCGGCTTCGAGAAAAAGTAAGTCATGAGCTAAATAAAGGACATTCTGAATGCTATTTCACGGTGTGTTTGTGTTTTGTGTTATGCCAGCTTAATATCCACAGCTTCGTCCACGGAATAGTGGCTTCATCTATGTTCCTTCGAAGGGTTACCAAGGCTTACTATTAGCATGCCGAATGACATCTAAATCAATTGGTTTGTGCGTATTAATAATACTGTTGGCCATGTAATTTCTAATGTGTAACAGCATGAAAAGAAATCCCAATTTTTATGAATTACCATATTTTTCGCTAATTTTAATGGAACAATACTACTTATATTCTACTCCGAATTATTCTTTGTCGACTTATCAAATTATATAAAAAACCGTACATTAGTTCTAAAAATGTGCACGAATGAATTACTCCCACTCTATTATAATTGCTTTTCTTCGATGATTCATACATAAATGCTTTTGTCGTAAATGCAAACAGCGGTCGATCTTCGAATACTGCTTATCAATTTAAAAACCGTCAGTGTCGCCAACTGTTTGAAAACTTTCCCCCTAAAGCAATTTCAAAAACCACTAAATTCAAAACAAAACTCCCCAACGACGGAAACAATAGTTATTTAGTATTTTTAAGTATTTTTCTTTAATTTCATCACATTATGAAATTGTTATTTTTGTTCATGTACGTAGAATTTTTTTAAAAGATACAAATAAAATTTTATCCCTAAAAATATCCCCAAAAAATCTCTGTGTAGATTTTTCCCCCTAAATTTGGGGGGAAAACCCCGGAATTGGCATCACTGAAAACCGTTCTTTCTGACTTTATCTTTCTGTTCCCTTATTTTAAAGTTGTCATCAACACTGGGACAAACGGTGACATACCTTGAATATCCTAAGCACAACGTAAAGCACTATATCCACGAAGCAAACATAGTCCGATGTGGTCTAACCGCGGGCTTTGAAGTTGCGAAAATAAAAGCAATAGTAATTGTTGGCTTTTTAATTCAGATTCAACATTAAAAGCCAGAAACTGGCCCGTTTCATATTGTACGCCAAGAAGGGGTATCGCGATGTGCCCTATCACAACTGGCTTCATGCGTTCAACGTAACTCAGTGGGCATACGCTGCTCTCGTCAACTTCAAACTTGTACAACAAGGTTACTTGACGTAAGTACCATTTTATGTCAAGTTATATAAGAAAGTGTGGGAAAGGGATGGGTTTATAGTTGACGGACGTTGCCAGACCGTCAAGTCTCTTAAATGGGCCGTCAACTGGCTCTAGTCACATAGAGCTGCAATATGCACCCGGGGTATAGGCTCTTAAGGCTTTTCGCTGCAAAGCACTTTTAGGGGCGCTCAAGTTATTTTTGGTTTTATTTATTCCAATGATGAGTGGATGAGCTTACGGCCCACCTGGTGTTATGTGTTCACCGGAGTCCATAGCTTATACAACGTAAAATCTACCACCCACATTAAGACACGAGTTCTAAGTTCTAGTCTTTTAAGGACAACGGCTTCTCCGTCCTTCAAACCGAAACGCATTGCTGCTTGGCGACAGAAACTGGCGGGGTGGTGGTACCTACCCGTTCAGGCTCAGAAGGCGCCCTACCATACCACCAGCAAAGCTTTGACAGTAGTTCATTCCTTAAGCAATTTTCACCTTAGCATTTACATTATCTTGATAGGATTGTTGTGAATTACTAATTACGTATCGAGGGGTGAAAGGCTATTTCGTTTAATGCGAAATTTTTGCAATTTTACAGAAGCGCCATTTTAAGTAAAAACTTGGTTTTTTTTTATTTTTTATTGCTTAGATGGGTAGACGAGCTCACAGCCCACCAGGTATTAAGTGGTTACTGGAGCCCATAGACATCTACAACGTAAATGCGCCACCCACCTTGAGATATAAGTTCTAAGGTCTCAGTATAATTACAACGGCTGCCCCACCCTTCAAACCGAAACGCATTACTGCTTCACGGCAGAAATAGGCGGGGTGGTGGTACCTACCCGTGCGGACTAACAAGAGGTCCTATCACCAGTAAAAAATGGAAAAAATATAATGACAAAAAATGTGATAAAGATAATTGAAGTTCAATTAAAACATTGAATTGTTGATACTAATACAAATTAAAACGCACTTTTAATTACAAAGACAAGTGTCGCGTATTTTGCGAAATGTTGTTTAAACAAAATAGTTTTTCACTCCTCGATCAATTAAATGTCCCAAGTTAGAAACGAATAGGACAAATTGAAAAGCGTCATAAATTATCGACCGACTGAATTTCGAGCATTTCATACTTCGCTAATTAATATAATTATAATTTTTACTGGTGGTAGGACCTCTTGTGAGTCCGCGCGGGTAGGTACCACCGCCCTACCTATTTCTGCCGTGAAGCAGTAATGCGTTTCGGTTTGAAGGGCGGGGCAGCCGTTGTAACTACACTTGAGACCTTAGAACTTATATCTCAAGGTGGGTGGCGCATTTACGTCGTAGATGTCTATGGGCTCCAGTAACCACTTAACACCAGGTGGGCTGTGAGCTCGTCCTCCCATCTAAGCAATAAAAAAATTATCTTTAGGGAACTACAAGCCTTGATGTACTTGGTCGCTGGTCTGGTACACGACCTGGATCACCGTGGGACCACTAACAGCTTTCATATACAAGGACGTAAGTGAACATGTTTACGTAGGTACCTACACAGAAATTCCTCTCACACATTTTACATACCTATAACAACATCTTACATGTAGTTTAAAAATTAATAAAGAGACAATATAAGAATTTAACGCTTCAGACTGGTCTAATTAGATAACAAAAGTGGGTTGTTTAAAATCTTTAAAAAAAATCGCTTAAATAAGTACCCAACTTACCTAATAATTAAATTCACATATTTTTTTATCCTGACGACACTACTTAGAATATTCGAGAGAAGTTATAGTTGGTTATGTGTAGTTTCAAAATTAATAAACCTGACTTAAGACTTCAGTCATATCTAATCACTTATTAAATGTGTGTTTAAAAACTAAGCAAAAACACGCCTAAGTACATGGCCAACCTAACTAACAATTAATTTTATAACTTTTTTGTTCTTGTCCTGTCAATGTGACTCAAAATATTCAAGCGAAATTATAAAATTATTGTATCGTCATCTGTACTTAAGGCGCGTGCAGATATTCAAGTTATTCAGGAGTTTTGAAGTCAGTGAATTTGACGTTCAAAATTATGTCACATACAAAGATGCTTACATTCCCGAACTAATAAAATCGTGCTAATAAATAAAACTTAGTATTTTAGAGGTTATTAATTAACTAATGTAAAGAAATATCTTTTGATATTGCTCAGGTAGGTAATATTAGCATAAGTAGTGGTGTTACCCACGGGTGTCCAATTTGAAAGCGCCCTCCCTCCTTGAGAAACTAAAACTAAATTTTATTGGTATTGTATTAGTATTGTTTATCGACAAAGAATAGACAAAGTCAAACCAGTTTATGTACAATTTTGTCGTCCCTTGGTCAATCGTTTTTCTTTATTTTTGTTTAATATTTACAAACTTTCTTGTTTTTTTGGAACGAAGTTCCTTATGGGACGATGCGGCGGGGTACCCTAACCGGGAAAAAACGTCCGTAACGTAAGATTTTTATTAGTAATGCACACATGTACGACTTAACTTTGTAATAACGTACAAAAAATAACATATTTTTTTATTATTCATTGACCACGATCTCAGAGCGTTCGTTTACGCAATACACTAACTCTTATGCAAACAATCGTGAATGAAGTATACCACAATAGGTTCGCACGTTACCGAATGACCGTGGGTTGTTGCGAAACCTCTAGTTTTATTTTCTTTATACCTCGAATAGAACTTAAAATTAATATTTTTTTAATAAGGAACTTCGTTCTTATCCGGTGTCCCACGACGCCACACATCTTTTGTTTTTGTTAAGTGGGTACAGCAAAGTAGGCAATTACAAAAACGCACACAAAATAAATTCTATTAAATTCTGTCACTGATCAAAATTTCGGTGAGTCTGCGAACATTATAGTTTCTGCGCGACGTTTTATTCTAGAGACCACATTAGCGGCCTTGTATTCGAGCGAAGGCAGCGTGATGGAACGGCACCACTTGGCCCAGGCCATGTGCATCTTGAACACGGAAGGATGCGACATCCTCGAATCGTTACCGAGAAAGGATTACGACAGAGCGATCCTGATGCTCAGAGATTACATCCTGGCGACGGACTTGTCTAATTACTTTAAGTACGTTGTTTAGCGTATTTCGATAAGTTTTCGCTATGACATATCCTTCTTTAAACGAGGTTTGTGGAGTGTATTAAGCGGTATGTAGCGGCTTGGCTCTGCTCCTGGTATTGGTGAGTCCATGAGCGACGGTAACCACTCACCATCAGGTGGGCCATATGCTCGTCTGCCTAGACTGACCATAAAAAGTAAAATAAAAAAGTGCTAGTCACTTATTTATCTAGTGATTGTACGTGCGTCTTCCGCAAGGAACAACATCAAGTTGTATGAAAGAGAAATGTAGAATTTGTAAATTTGCATCATTCGGTGAAACTCGTCACAGTCCAATAGGGTCAATAGATTCAGCGATCATTGACATCATAACGTGAATGCCAGCGCCTACCTTGAGACATGAGGTCGACTCCTCAATTGTATCACATAGTGGCTGTCCCACCCGTTAAATTGGAACGCAGGAACGCATCGCGGCAGAAACAGGAGGGACCTTTTTACCTAACCGTACCGACGTGCGTCTGGTTGTGAGCTCCGCCCCACCATCACCAGTAACTAGTACGTGTTGGCTGTATTTCGTTTTCCCACAAAAAAAACTCCTGGTAATTCACGCCGCGCAGCACCCGTCAGTGGGTTTCCCGATTTCAGTCAACACAAATTAAACATATTGTAGGTAAACGTTTATATTTTTACAGGAACCTAAGTGAATACAAATCGATATCCCAGGATTATTTGAAGGGTAACCGCGCCCACGTGTCGTGTCTGCAGGCGCTACTAATGAACGCCGCCGACCTCAGCGACCAGCTCAAAGACTGGGCCAGTGTCAAAAAGACCGCAGTTAGTTTACCTACTGTCTAAATCAGGGGTTCCCAAAGTTATTTTGTCTGTTGTCCACTTTGAGAATATTTTTTTTTTGCGCCCCCGTTTTTTCACCAATTTAAAACCACTATAGCGAGAGCTCAGTCGGTATCTAAGAGTTCTCCTAGATAAAATTAAGAACGCCCCATTTTTTTTTCTGGGTCTCTTACCGCCCCCCTTTAGGCCTGCAGCGCCCACCAGGGGGCGTTATCGCCCACTTTGGGAAAGGCTGCTCTAAACGAAGCTCCATTGTTTTATCGTAATTTCACAATCGCGTTCGCTGTAGGCGTCAGTGCTGACGGAGTTCTTCAAGCAGGGCGACGTGGAGAAGAGCCGCGGCGACCTCCCNAACGCCCCAATTTTTTTTCTGGGTCTCTTACCGCCCCCCTTTAGGCCTGCAGCGCCCACCAGGGGGCGTTATCGCCCACTTTGGGAAAGGCTGCTCTAAACGAAGCTCCATTGTTTTATCGTAATTTCACAATCGCGTTCGCTGTAGGCGTCAGTGCTGACGGAGTTCTTCAAGCAGGGCGACGTGGAGAAGAGCCGCGGCGACCTCCCGCTGCTGATGATGGACCGCGAAAAATGCTTCATACCGCAACTAGAGATACAGTTCATGCAGACCACATGCGTGCCGCTCTTTGAGTTAGTTCGAGCAACTAGAGTTTAGTATAAAGAAGGCCGCCGTACATAGGATGCGATCAAAATTACCCTAAAATAATGACGTAGTATTTTTGGGGTACCTTCTTCGGTTTTCAGGTCAGGTCTGTAGGAATAATTTAATTACGATTACGTCAGTTCACGGGGCTCAAACCCGGCGACGTTGCTAACACGAACCCTAGCAAGAGCCGTGCTTCGCAGAATCTACCACCGGATCGGAAACGCGACTCACTGAGAAGATCCGGCGAGAAACTTAGTGGGCTTGTCTGAGGGTTAATTTACTCGCCGAACCCTTCGTCGCAAGCGGCGGGTTCGACGAGGGTGATGACCAGTGCTTGAACTACCTAAAAGCACCGTTAGTGGATCGGGAGGATCCGAAATTACGTCTTTGGGGCCACGTCGACTGCTTTCCATTCTGTCCGCAGGATCGGGAATGTAGTTACCGGCGGCCAGGATGAGAGGGTTCTCGTGTCGTGCCGCTTTCTCGAAATGGCTCTATAGCGTAAAAGTTGCTCATATTTGTATGGAATGGGATCGTTTGCGTCCGTTTGCCGCTAGGGGCACCGTTCCAACTGCCTACAAAATTGGGTTAACTTTTACGCTATCGAGAACGTTAAGAAACTCGCACTAAGCACACTGATCACGAAAACAATAAGCGCGAGTGAATAATCCGTAAAAGCAGTTCCGCAATTTTGTGTTTCATTTCTCTATTACGAGTATTATCTGTAAGTTACCAGCGCTCGCTGAGAACAATCGAAATTCGACCGTAATCATTGACGCCGTAAGACTTAAAGTCGTTTTATATTTGACGTTTTCTCATTTGTTTCATTATCTACGTTCCTTTAGCGAGTCGTCTCTTTAAAGTTAATACTATTTAAAATGCTGGAAAAATTTCGATATTCCCATATTAATAATTAGCTAACGAATTACCTGATGGTGAAAATGGACTTTTGATTTAGCCACAGGACTTTGATTACAAGAAAGATGTCATCACCAAACAATTCGATTGACGCAATAAATTAATAATAAGAACATAGATAATTAGTTAAATAGTTTTTAATTGTGAAAGTTTCAACAGGGAATCTCACTACATCACACATTCAATGTTCCCTCGCTGCTGTGTCCGATAAAAAATATTATTTATAATTACCCTCATAGACAGACTAGCAACAGTAGGTAAGCAGTTACCGCCCCTCATAGACGTCATGCCAAGGAGACAGTCACTGCCTACACATAGAGAATACTCCTCAAACGTTCTTTGAAACACGGACACGGAAACACGGACGTTTTGGATACGTCATAGCGCTCGGGAAACACCGCCCATTGTAATTCAACACAGAACCGGATGATAACGGATGATAAAATATCTCTAGACTGTAGACGGTTGCAGCGGTTCCGGATAGTAAGGATGAACTCTGCTCAATAAACTAGAACCTCCTCAATAGATTGCTGTCCTGGTGAAACTGGAAAGGCCTCTGCGCTACCAGTAATCCCTCATAAAAAAAAAGATTACTATTTGAAAATAGCTAATTACAATTGTGTTCAGGACTTTAGGTAGAATTATACCCAAAGCCACTGTGTGTGTGAAGATCATTGAGAGTCATATCGAGAGGTGGGAGGCCGCCAAACCAATTTTTGCTGAGGTAATAAATACTATTTTTTAGCTTACCTTGAATGCTGACTAAATCCATAGACATAAATTAACACTTTTTAATATACTGAGATGGTGAATGCACTTTATTTCTACTATCCATACAAGAAAGAAATAAGAATACAAAATGGCGGCAAAACATTCTGACTTGTGACAAATGAAACCCGCAAAATTATAATTTGCGTAATTACTGGTGGTAGGACCTCTTGTGAGTCCGCACGGGTAGGTACCACCACCGCGCCTATTTCTACCGTGAAGCAGTAATGCGTTTCGGTTTGAAGGGTGGGGCAGCCGTTGTAACTAAACTGAGACCTTAGAACTTATATCTCAAGGTCGGTGGCGCATTTACGTCGTAGATGTCTATGGGCTCCAGTAACCACTTAACACCAGGTGGGCTGTGAGCTCGTCCAACCATCTAGTAATTAAAAAAAAACTTAATGCAAGGTTCACGCGAACCTGTTTTATTCGATCGACTTAGAAATCGATAACCGTAAACACAAATCGAATATCGATCACGAATCGATTCAATAAATTCTACCTTTTGATTACTAAACAAATCATTAGGACCGTGCGTATATACTATATACATAGGGGCTTAGGGGTCATTTTACGCAAAAATGGTCTATACAAGTTTACTTGATATTTATCTGAAGGTGCCAGCCACAGCCGGCTTGTCAGTTCTAATGAGTCAAGAACTGGACAACCTCATTGAAATAAATTTAAAGGAAATGGAGAAGTTGCGATTAGAAGCAGAGGCTGCCAACGAGGAAACTACATAGACACGTGTGAACGAATCTTTTGTGCCCATTTTTAATTATAACAAAATTAATAGGATCTGTAATTAATACATCGGTCAAATTGTTTAATAGGATCACAGAAAATTCTAAAACATTATATAAAAATCTTATTGGAGTCTTAATAACAATGGAAAAATCATGTTGCTTGTGTACTCATTTTGAAAATATTATTACTTTAGTATGTAACTTAAATTTATATTATTGTGGATTTTTTGCTTTTATTTTTAGTGTAACAATAAATTTATTCTTAAATTAAAAGGTTGGGACGAAAATAAATAAAAAAACCTTTTATTTAAAACATAATGTATTATTTCACCAATAATCAGTACAGATAGATCTACACCGATCATGACAATACTTTAAACATTCTATCACATAATGGAATGAACATTAATTTCTTTGGTAAATAAACATTAAGAAAAATTATCTTTAAATTAAGAATATTAGGAAGTCGTTATTGTCTAAGTTCCAGTTGACGTTGAAATTACACTGAAAATTGCATTTCATCTGCATGCTGCAATTTCTGTCGCAACAAGATTTATTAATAACACATTATAACGCTATTTATAAATATCTCTTTCAGAGTTATAAATTAGGCAAAGTTATGAATTAGACAAAAAAAAAAATTGCTTACATTGGTGGACGAGCTCACATCCCACCTGGTGTTAAGTGGTTACTGGAGCCCATAGACATCTACAACGTAAATGCGCCACCCACCTTGAGATATAAGTTGTAAAGTCTCAGTATAGTTACAACGGCTGCCCCACCCTTCAAGCCGAAACGCATTACTGCTTCACGGCAGAAATAGGCAGGGTGGTGGTACCTACCCGCGCGGACTCTCAAGAGGTCCTTCCACCAGTAATTACGCAAATTATAATTTTGCGGGTTTGATTTTTATTACACGATGTTATTCCTTCATCGTGGAAGTCAATCGTAAATATTTGTTGAGTACGTATTTAATTAGAAAAATGTATTATTGAAGTTAGCTACAACTAGCAATGGTTAAAATAAAAATATACTTTTTTGAAGACAATGAAGCTTTAACATTTTTTTCAATACACTATTAACGTTAATTAGAATTTAAATGGAGAAGTAATTTTTTTTTTTTTTTTTTTTGTTGACACCTTCAATATTTATGTGAAGCTGGTAAATAATGAAAAAAAGCATGAACAAAAGAAAAATGAAATTTTGAAATTATTAACATTATTACCCAGATGAAATGGTACAACTTATGATTCCGAAGACGACCGTTTACTTTTTATTAAAGTATAATCTGTGGTGACGAATGCAAATGGAAAAGAAACATAGGCTGAAATAGGCAGGGCGGTGGTACCTACCACAAGATGCCCCATCACCACGCTCGGCACTTATGATGGTAAGACCTATTGTGAGTCGGCACGGGTCTCAGTATAGTTGCAACGGCTTCCAAACCCTTCATTCCGAGACGCATTACTGTTTCACAGCAGAAATAGGCAGGGTGGTGGTGCCTACCCGTGCGGACTCACAAGAGGTCCTACCACCAGTAAAAACAGATGTCGCTAGTGTCAGCATACGATAATATAGAGTAACATTTCCCCTTTGGAGCAAGATAAATCGTAAGAGAATAAATAATAAATAATAATAAATAAATATTTACTAATAATCACGCCACGTTAACTGGTCCCGTGATAAGTTCGTAAAGAACTTGTGTTACAGGTACCAGATAACGGGTATAAATGTAAGATTTTTATTATACACATACATATATTTAATATACATCCATAACCCTGGAAAAGACATTTATATTTATCTTACAAATATCTTCCCTTGGCGGGATTCGAACCCGCGACCCCCTTGTGTAGTGACCATGTCACTTACCACTACACCAGACGGCCGTTACGAATGAAGTTGATCTATCCATTATGTTTGTCTCTTTCGCTCCAGTTTCGCTGCTAAATTAATAACATTTTTTTTCTTTTATCAACAATTCAATATGGTATGTTTATTAAGAAGAATAAATTAAAATACGTCTCTTCTCGGTATTTTGTGAAACTTTATTTAAAATACTAACTTGCTTATTATCCTATCAGACCGTTCTCTTCGGGCTGTAGGAGCTCATTGATGAACTCTAGAACGATCTCCTTTAGTTTCGATTTCATTTCCTCTTGTTCACTGCAAAGAGTATCGTTAGATTATTAGTAATAGCGACCCGCCCTCGCTTCGCTTCGGAAGCTGTAATTTATTATTGATTTCTCTACTATTTGATGGATGTTATTATACATATAACTCTGAAAAACAACGTTTACATTAAGCACTGACAAAAACAAAAACAAAAGAGCGTGGAGCACTGGCACAAATGAGTAATAGTCTATACACTAAACGGTCAGCTGCTGTGAGCTATAGGCACCGCCATATTGGCCTTGGCTGCTCTGACGAGCGCCTTTCACTTTATCCCTACTCCACGGCCGACCGCCACGCGACATGCAACACACAGGCGAAAAACTTTGAGACGATGTAATAAAAGTTTCACTTTAAAACTCAAAAAGTGCACATAGCAGATTTTGGTTTGATAACGACGATATCTATACTAATATTATAAAGCTGAAAAGTTTGTTTGTTTGAAGGCACTAATCTCAGGAACTCCTGGTCCGAAAATTCTTTCACCGTTAGATAGCCCATTTATTGAGGAAGGCTATAGGCTATATAACATCACGCTAAGACTAATACAAGCGGAGCACCAATAAAGAATGTTCCAAAATCGAGGTTCTTTTCCCTTTTGAGAGCTTCCCCTGCGTGCGCTGTAGAAACTGTTAAAGTTTCGCTAAAATAATGTATGACAGAATTGTTCCCCTTTAAAAGACCTAAAAAAAGTTGGCCATAGCATATGTCTATATGTTAAGGTTGATTCACTATAACGTTTTTTATGCTAACCAAATTTGTTCTAAAATAAAGCATTATTTGTGTGAACTATTCTACGCAAAGTCGCGGGCAAAAGCTAGTGATGATATAAGATGATGCAGTAGTGGAGTCCCCACCTGACAGTGTCGGCCCGGCAGACCAGCTCGGTGTAGTACTTGAGCTTGGGCTCGGTCCCGCTGGTGCGCACGCACGCGCTCAGCCCCGTGTCGCAGCGGAACATCACCATCTCGCCGCTCGTGTAGTCCTGGTCCAGCCCGGTGCCTAGCACGCCTGACAACGACCTCCCTTTGTAATGACTTAGTTAACTAGGCACCCCTAGTGGTCGTAGTCGAAAATCGACTATAATCATTTCAAATTACGAGTATCAGTTTGAACATTATTAAGGTTCTATTGTGAAATAATTTTTTAAGGGATTTTATGACCTGGTGACTAAGACCTTTAAGTCATGTCTTATTTTTTATTTTATATTCTTATTTTTATGAAAGATGATGAAATGAAATGAAGATGATTAATTTGAAACATTAATCAACTGGCATAAAATTAAATTAAATGAAATGTGATAATATGGGATGAAATATAATCTCAGTAAAATGGTGGTCATTTACTGAGATTTTTTCAGTGGATTTTTTAGAGGATCCCGAGAAGTTACGTTCAGCGGCTTTGTTTCATTTTCCCACATTTGTGCACTTTCACAGTTACACTGAACAGTTAATAAACCGCCGTTATTACACATTTAAACCCGAAGAAACACAAAATAGACAAAATAAAACAAATCACACAGCTTCACTTCTCGCGTTCCCGCCAAAAAGTCTCTTAGAGCAGTCACTTTAAAAACTAATGTTGTATGTTCATATGCTCACGGAGGTGGGTATCGGTGCGGGGCGCGGGGGGCGCCGTGACGCCGGCCGTGAAGTCCGTGACGCGCGTGACGCCGCACGAGCCCACCCGCCGCGGGTACTGCGGGCGAGGGGCGCTTAGTCGGCGGCTGACATTGCCACTGACAGTGCCAGCCGCCGACGGTAGGAACACATTTTTACTGGTGGTAGGACCTCTTTTGAGTCCGCACGGATAGGTACCACCGCCCTGCCTATTTCTGCCGTGAAGCAGTAATGCGTTTCGCTTTGAAGGGTGGGGCAGCCGTTGTAACTATACTGAGGCCTTAGAACTTATATCTCAAGGTGGGTGGCGCATTTACGTTGATGTCTATGGGCTCCGGTAACCATTTAACGCCAGGTCGGCTGTGAGCTCGTCCACCCATGTAAACAATAAAAAAAAATGTATATAACAGATCTCACTTGACCGGGTCCCTCGTAATTCCTGATCCTCCTGAAGATCTTCTGTATGGTGGAGGGCTCGTGGCAGATGTAGTAGGAGTTGTGCGACACGTGGTACCCGTACTCCGCGTACAGCTGCTGCAGCTGGGAGCCTAGCGACATCCCCTTGGAGCGAAGGTGCGACGCCAGGGACGCCACCTGGAAACGAGGAGTTGGACGGGTATCACTGCGAGAATTTACTGCTGTTTCCGAGTTGAACAGTCAGCGTCGCTGTCAAACACATAAAATTCAGTTTTAGTATATTATCTACTAGCGACCCGCCCTCGCTTCGCTTCGGAAACTGTTATTTATCATTGATTTCTCCACTATTTAATAGATGTTATTATATGTACATATAAACATTCCTCTTTAAATCACTCTATCTATTAAAAAAAACCGCATCAAAATCCGTTGCGTAGTTTGAAAGATTTAAGCATACATAGGGACAGAGAAAGCGACTTTGTTTTATACTATGTATTAATGCTGTTTGTACCCAGTTAGGTACTAATGACTTTTTGGCGGGAACGCGAGGAGTGAAGTTGTATGATTTGTTTTATTTTGTCTATTTAGTGTTTCTTCAGGTTTAAATGTGTTATAACGGTGGTTTATTAACCGTTTAATATCTGTGAAAGTGCACAAATGTGGGAAAATGAAACAAAGCCGCTGGACGTAGCTTCTCGGGATCCTCCAAAAAGTCCACTGAAAAAATCTCAGTAAATGACCAAAATTTTACTGATATTATGTTTCATCCAATATCATCTCTTTTCATTTAGTTTCATCCCAGTTAATTAATGTCTCAAATTAATCCTCTGCATTTCATTTCATTTCACTCCATATTATCATTTTTCATAAAAATAAGAATAAAATAAAAATAAGACATGACCTAAAGGTCTTAGTTACCAGGTCATAAAATCCCTTAAAAAAATTTAGTTACTAATGACTTTTTGGCGGGAACGCGAGGAGTGAAGTTGTGGAATTCGTTTTATTTTGTCTATTCAGTATTTCTTCAGGTTTAAATGGGTAATAACGGTGGTTTATTAATTACTAGCTTTTGCCCGCCTCACCGTCCGCGTGGAATAGTTACTTTGGCATAACGCAAAATTTTACCCCCCACTTCATTTGCGTAGAAAGCGAAAACATTTTTGAATTATGTAATGTTAAGGAGCTATTTAAACCCCTATACATTATTTATTGGTGCTCCACTTGTATTGGCCTAATTGTGATGTTATATCGCCTTTCTCAATAAATGGGCTATCTAACACTGAACAATTTTTTCAAATCGGACCAGTAGGTCCTGAGATTAGCGCGTTCAAACAAACAATCTCTTCAGCTTTATAATGTTAGTATAGATTTAGTATATGTGAAAGTGCACAAATGTGGGAAAATGAAATAAAGCAGCTGAACGTAGCTTCTCGGGGTCCTACACAAAAAGTCCACTGAGACTTTTTCTCAGTAAATGACCAACATTTTACTGAGATTATATTTCATCACATATCATCTCATTTGTAAATTTAATTTGTTTTTAATCATTTATGTTATGTCGCGATTAGTTTCCTTCGTTTTTTTATTATTCATAAACTGTAAATAATTAAAAACTGTGAATTATAAAAATCTTATTACTTGGCGCCGTCTAACGCAGAAGCCGTCAGCGACGCTGACGTCATTCTGTTTAGTTGTTGTCATTGCCTTCCATAATGACAGAAAATAAGACTCACTTTTCCAAACAAATAGTAATGTTGCGCCGATATATATAATACATTTATACTATACTATACTATACTAACTTGCACCGCGGCCGAGACGCCATCTTTGTCTGGTACGCGCACATCGCACATGTAGCCCAGGGCCTCCTCGAAGGCGAACACCGGAATCTTGTTCTGCTGTACCAGCAGCAGGGAGCAATTACCTGCGGATTCCATTTAGTTTTTATTATTTTTTTATTGCTTAGATGGGTGGACGAGCTCACAGCCCACCTGGTGTTAATTGGTTACTGGAGCTCATAGACATCTACAACGCAAATGCGCCACCCACCTTGAGATATAAGCAGTTTGGTGGTACCTACCCGCGCGGACTCTCAAGAGGTCCTGCCACCAGTAATTACGCAAATTATAATTTTGCGGGTTTGATTTTTATTACACGATGTTATTCCTTCACTGTGGAAGTCAATCGTGAACATTTGTTAAGTACGTATTTCATTAGAAAAATTGATACCCGCCTGCGGGATTCATACACCGGTGCATCGCTAGATACGAAAAAACCAGCTCACCCATCCACTTGAAGCCGGTGAGCGTCTCCACAAACTGTCCCTTCCCGTCGACGATGGCGCGCAGCATCTTGGAGCTGACGATGCTGGCGATCACGTATAGGTCCTCGGCATTCGCAGACGGGTCCTTCTTGTAGTGCTGCGTCAGCAGCCACCAGCCCAGCAGTGCGCCCATCTCATTCCCACTGAACACCTTCCAGGATTTCGAACTGAAGAAAACGTATGAAGTGATTAAAAACAATTGTGTAATGCTTTTTTTCTATCTAAGCTGGAAACCTTAGCGGGCTATGTCAGCGTCACCGAGCAAGTAGGTGAGCTCAAAGGGCTCTAACCTAACGACTACCTAGCACTAGCACTAGCCCTAATAAGAGCAGTGCTTCGCAAAATCTATCACCAGATCAGAAACGCGACCCACTGAGGAGATCCGGCGAGAAACTCAGTGGGCTGTGTCTGTGGGTTAATTTACTCGCCGGCCCCTTCGTCGCAAGTGACGGATTCGGCGAGGACGTTGGCCGGTGCTTGAGGTACCTAAAAGCATCGTCAGTGGATCGGGAGGATCCGAAATGACGTGTTTAGGGCGACATGTGTAATGCATATACGAATATAAACTAATGAAACCAAATGATTGTGGGCGCCATCTGGTGTCAAGGTACAGAACTACGCAAGGCGACATCGGCGCTGTGAAGTGTGACAAAGCACCGAAGCGTTTAGTAAAACTAGTGGTCGCCTGGTAGTTGAAATTCGACTATAATTAATTGAAATTATAAGTTTGTACACTATTAAGATTTTATTGTCAAAGACAAATACTTCTATACTATTCACAGATTTGGCCAAGACTACACTTTAGACACTACACTACACTTTATTAATAAAGACAAACAATATTTAATTTAATTTTTTTATGGGATTTTATGACCTGGTAACTAAGACCTTTAAGTCATGTCTTATTTTAATTTATTTTCTTATTTTTAAGAAAAATGATGAAATGAAATGAACATGATTAATTTGAGACATCAATCAACTGGCATGAAATCAAATGAAATGAGATGAGATGATATGGGATGAAATATAATCTCAGTAAAATGGTGGTCATCTACTGAGACTTTTTCATTGGACTTTTTGGAGGATCCCGAGAAGTGAAGTCCAGCGGCTTTGTTTCATTTTCCCACATTTGTGCACTTTCACAGATTTTAAACAGTTAATAAATCACCGTTATTACACATTTAAACCTGAAGAAACACTAAATAAACAAAATAAAACAAATCACACAACTTCACTCCTCGCGTTCCCGCCAAAAAGTCTATATTTAATCTATTCTCAATTTGACCACAGACTATAAGCAATAAGAAAAGTTTGACTTGAATTTTATGCATAATTTAAAAAAAAAAATCATTCTGCACTCCTTCTCTATATTATCTATAAGTGTGGGAAATTTCATACTCATCCGTCAGCGCAGTTTCCGTAAAAAGGGATACAAAGTTTTTGCTTCACGTATCAATATATAGATATGGTATCGAGTAAACGTTCGGAAACGCTCGGCTGCGTCTTAGGAGAGTTGTGAGAGATTTTCAAACGTTCAGATTCCCTAGCGTGTACGTGAACAGCTTCCGACTGACGACTTCACGATTGTTCTGCGACTGAAAACAACTAATGATGAGGAAGCAAGACCTCAACGCACCTGACGTCGAACTCGGCCACCGCCAGCCGGTCAGCGTCAGGGTCGTTGACCAGCACCAAGCTGACGCCTCGTTGCTCGGCCTCTTGCTTGCTCAATGCCAGACACTCTGACTCCTCGGGATTCGGGAATGTCACTGTCGGGAAATCTGGATCCGGGTCTTGTTGTTGCTTGACGCTGGTCGGTGCCTGACGAATAAGATGACATTGTTGTTGTTGCAGACGTTTTTGACTTATAAGAGCATTGATTTATACAAATGTATAAAAGTTAATAACAAAGTAAATAAGTACAAAGTAAATAACCATCACCCTCCGTATTCGCCAGACCTTGCTCCAACGGACTACCATTTTTTTTTCGTGATTTGAACAATTTTCTACGTGTTAAAAGTTTTCTTTCTAGGAAGCAGTGCAATATGCTTTCACACAGTTTAGATAATCTAGATCACCAGAGTTCCATCGCAAAGGCATAAATGATCTTCCTATTAAATGGCAGCAATGTATAGATAATAATGTTAGATATTTTGATTCAATAAATATGTTAAATGAAGAAAAAAATGAATATGAATTTTTCAGTACAAATCGGCAATTTCATACTTTAGCCCCTTATATAAATCATTTGTACATAACGCGTGCTAAATTGTCGTATGAGCGCGTTATACGAGAATACTACAACGCGGAACCAGTCCATCGTGTTATAGCGGGGATTATTATAATTGGTTGATTTGAAATTGACGGATTTCTCGAGATGGTTTTTTATATGAGCGAACAAGCTTACGACTTATAACGGATCCCATAGAGATCACCGTGGTCGCCACTACTCATGTTGAGACATGAGTCGCAATTCTATTTTATAATAAATATCCACTTTGTCTATTATAAATATAAGCGACTGGAACGCATGTCTGCTTCGCGCCATTAATAGGCAAGTTGGTGGTTCGTCTTTAATAATTCTCTTTTCATGTCAAATATTGTATTTTGATTTTAAACCACTTTCCTTTAAGGAGGAGCATTAAATTCTGATATATATCTTACGGCTAATACCCGAAGTGCGGCTATACCTAGTTCTATCCGGCTAAAACTAGGTGTAGCCGCACTTCGGTGTTTAAACCTAGGTGTAACAGATTTGTTCACGGCTAATATTAGGTGTAGCCGATTTCATTTGTTTAAAATTAGGTATAGCCTTCTTTATGCTGGCTACAACTAAATGTAGCCAATCAGCCTTGAGATATGATTTCTAAGGTCTCAATTTTTACAGCACAACGGCTGCCCCACCCTTCAAACCGAAACGCATTACTGCTTCACGGCAGAAATAGGCGGAGTGGTGGTACCCACCCGCGCGGACTCACAATCCGTCCTACCACCAGTAAAGTGATATTATATTGTAAGATACCTTCAATCCGGCCGTTTCGAAGGCCTTCAAGACGTATTCGTAGCCGACGCCGTGCATCGCGCTGTACACGACATCGATGGCGGCTCTTTTGTTCGTCTCCAGCACGTCCTCGTGAAGGCTGTCCCGGATGTACGCCATGTACCTATCCGTCACTTCCGCTGTGCAGTCCCGGACTAATTCGTGAGCTCTGACTTCGGTTATATCCCAATGATCGTCTGGTATGCTGTTAATAACCTCAGTATTACACATAACGGTGTAGATAGGGTGACGTAAAAATATTTGGATGGGAGAGGATATGCTAGAGAGGTAATGTATGATAGACTTGAATAGAAAAAAATGCATGCTGTTAAGACTCCACATAGTGGGATAAGATCCGGAATAAGAATGTCTGAATGAATATAAGGATCCGTTCACACGCAAAGAGCGCGCAATCGGAGCCGGTCGGCTCTTCTTATTATTTCACACGCAACGCGTTCAAGCATTCTGAATGAAAAAAAGTGCACATGCAAAAATAAACTTTACTACAATTACGCAAAACTCTGTTCCTAACGTGATAAAAATCTGTTCTCCTCTGCGAGCCATTATGTGTGAACGGACCCTAAGATTGCAGAGACCGTGTAGCAGTTTTACGATAAATCGGACACATGAAACAATTTATATGACCCCCAAATGCTCGGGACGTGTATGCGCGTAGCAGAAAATAGTATTGAATAACAGCTGCCCATCTTAACATCGTATAATAAAAATCAAACCCGCAAGATTATAATTTGCGTCATTACAGTTGGTAGGACTTCTTGTGAGTCCGCGCGGGTAGGTACCTACTACCACCCTGACTATTTCTGCCGTGAAGCAGTAATGCGTTTCGGTTTGAAGGGTGGGGCAGCCGTTATAACTACACCTGAGACCTTAGAACTCATATCTCAAGGTGAGTTGCGCATTTGCGATGTGGATGTCTATGGGCCAGTAACCACTTAACACCAGGTGTGCTGTGAGCTCGTCCACCCATGTAAGCAATAAATAAAAAATACAAGCACAAAACTCACTCCAAGCACTGCAATATCTCATCCAGTATGTTGTCGTCATGAGGCGATATAATCTGCGAACCGTTCGACCAATAAACTTTGTATCCGTTGTCCTCCTTCGGGTTGTGGGAGGCCGTCACCATGACACCGGCAGCGGCGCCGTACATTATTGTTCCGAAGGACACGAGTGGTGTCGGGCAAACCATTGAAAATAAATGGACCGGTATCGATGAAGATATGAACACCTTCGTTGTGAGTTCCGCGAATCTGAAATCACATTTGTCAGATTATTGGCATTGCATTCGTGATGTTTGTGCTACAACTGTAAACATTGACAGTTCCGTCATTTATTGGCATGTATGTTTTAAAAGTTTGTGCCTGAAATAAGTAGGTAGTTATCTGTAGACGTTATCAGCACAATTGACACTCAAAAGGGCACGTTTTTTTTATAGTTCGCAACACAGACGCAAGATCTGTATAAATCTGTATAAAAAATAATAGTAATAATGCACGAAACTTCGCATAGGTACATACCTTTTGCGGAAAAATGTATGGTAAATGTCATTTGCAAAAAAGACTTCGGTTAATATTCGATACACGGCACACGATTCGTGTTATGATTAATACATCAATAGGCGCTTTTTTTTGTTTACCCACAAAAATACGTAATACAAACATAATCGCCCCCTACATTGATAGGCCAAGACCCCGATAACCGAAATCGAATTCTTCCAAACGGTGTGCTTGGTGTGAGTATTTAACGTTTTCGATGGCGTAAAATTTAATACAAATTTGTATGCAATTTGCCCTAAACACGACATTACGGAACCTCCCGATGCATTAACGGTGCTTTTAGGCACCTCAAGCACCGGTCACTGTCCTCGACGAACCCGTCGCTTGCAACGAAGGGCTTGACGAGTAAATTAACCTACAGACACAGCCCACTGAATTTCTTGCCGGATCTTCTCAGTGGGTCACGTTTCCGATCCGGTGGTAGATTCTGCGAAGCACTGCTCTTGCTACGGCCAGTGTTAGCAACAATCGGTTTGAGCCCCGTGAGCTCACCTACAAGTCAAGTCGAAGCTGAAATAGCCTCTCAAGGTTATCAGCATAGGTAAAAAAATGCAGTTGGAACAACATCCCTAGCGGCAAACCTAGGCAAACGTTCCATCTCCATACAAATTTGAGTTAACTTTTACACTAACGAGAACGTTAAAAAACTCGCCCTAAGCACACGGTTCGTGTTATGATTAATACCCGTCCGTTGGCGTTTTGACCCCCGGAGACGATCTGTGACATCTCGATAAACACCAGATAAGTTACGATAAACATTTGAATGAATCTATGGAAACATGATATCGTGCTGTGAATTGTTTTTAATTAACACATGTTTCTCGCGACAGTCGTGAATAAACATATATACGCAAAGTTATTGTATGTATAGACTGGTATTCTGTGACCACTCAAACTGGAAATCGCAAAATGTGGTCATAGTCTCCTCATTACAGTTGGAAGCATATCCCTACGAAATTGAGATGTAAATGAAACTAATTTTAAGATTTAATCTCGTGTTTTTATCGTCATATTGTTTTAGAGGTCAAGACAACCATCGTCCATGACCACGAAAACTGTAAAGCATTCCAAACGTCAGGAATATTATGACGAATTTTACTATGAGCTGTCGCAAGCTGTTCACATTGTGTCGACACGTTTGGTAAGTGCTTAGTAGCAAACGGATTGATAAATGTGCCAATTAAAGATACAAATCTACCAATTAAAAAAAGCCGAACAAGGACAAAGTCTCTATGGTATTGGATAACAGTTGCCCACCTTACCAAACCGGAACGCATAAGGGGAGAGATACCCGCTTTTCGTTATACCTACGTAAACATACTGGTGGTAGGACCTCTTGTGAGTCCGCACGGGTAGGTACCACCGCCCTGCCTATTTCTGCCGTGAAGCAGTAATGCGTTTCGGTTTGAAGGGTGGGACAGCCGTTGTGGCTATACTGAGACCTTAGAACTATATCTCAAGGTGTGTGGCGCATTTACGTTGTAGATGTCTATAGGCTCCAGTAACCACTTAACACCAGGTGGGCTGTGAGCTCGTCCATCCATCTAAGCAATAAATAAAAAAAAACATGGTCTTTATTTAGTATTAGCATCAACAGTTCGGTATTTTTAATTGATCCTCAATTAAGTTTAACTCATTGAAATAGCCGAAGTTTTTTTTACAAATTTTAAACTTGGAATAGCTCTACTAAGTAAGTAAAGTTGCAAAAATGTCGCTTAAACCAAATAGCCTTTCACTTGACCCTCGATATATATAATGAGTACTGCAACTAGGTTTAGGAGAAGAAGCAGATTCTTTAAAACTACATTATTTGTTTTTTTTTCTCTACCAAAGCTTATGGTCTTGAGAGATCATATCGGCGTTACCGGGCGAGTAGGTAAGCTCAAGAGGCTCAAATCTGGCGTTATTGCTTACACAAATCATAGCAAAAGCCGTGCTTGGCAGAATCTACCACCAGATCGTAAACGCGACCCACTGAGTAGATCCGGCGAAAACTCAGTGGGCTGTGCCTGTGGGTTAATTTCCTCGCCGAGCCCTTCGTCGCAAGTGACGGATTCGACGAGAGCGATGACCAGTGCTTGTGGTACCTAAAAGCACCGTTAGTGGATCGGGAGGATCCGAAATGAAGTGTTTTGGGCGACGTCGACTGTTTACCATTGGGTCCGCAGGGCCGGCTTTGTAGTTACTGGCGGCCACGATGAGAGGGTTCTCGTGTCGTGCCGCTTTATCGAAATGGATTATTTAGTGGACAGCTTTTGATGACATACAATAATTCGCCAGCTTTTCAAGGTAGAGATCACGACTTTACCATGAAAAACCACCAAACGACAAAAGAAAAATATTTAACAACCACGGATCTGGCACTAATGTAACTATGTTCATTGGAGTGGTAATGTCGCCCTTTATATGTGTGGATATGTAGTTTCATATCAATTGTGCTAATGGTTCTAAAGATTTAGATGAACACATATATTTGGACATGCAAATTCTTTTATATATAATATTTATATAGATGTTTTTATTTTACCTTTTACTCTGATGTCTTCCATCAAATCCTACCACGATTCCATTTTTTATTTGCGCATTATTGGATACCTTTTGTATATATGAACATATTCCCTGGATGAGAAAAAAACATCAATAACTATAAATGTCAGAAATGTTTGTTAATACTAAAATAAAAAAATATTTTTATTTGAACAAACCTACACATAAAATCGGAACTGAGAATTACTTTGTATCGACATCAAGCTATTGGGGCCACCAACTTTTTTTTTATATTCCATAGTTGGGTGAATGAGCTCATGGACCACCTGATGTTAACACATTAACCTCTGAATATGAGGCGTGCAGGCACATTTTGCAGATTTTTGTAACACTTTATTTTTCTCCTAATTATCTATACTAATATTATAAAGAGGAAAGATTTGTATGTTTATTTGTATTGAATAGGCTACGAAACTACTGAACCGATTTTAAAAATTATTTCACTGTTTAGAAGCTGCCCTATCCCTGAGTGACATAGGCTATAATCTTTTTTTTTTTTAATTAGGGATCTTTACTAAAACTCCAATAACGCAAGGTTTAAAAAAAATACTTAAAATATTCTTTACATCGCGTGCGCTGCGAAAACTATTGACGATAGAATAAAGTCATCTATATTAATTAATAAAAAAAACTGGTACATCTTCCTAAGAAAATTTGTAGGCAGCCCTAATGGCTTGCTTCAATGTCCTGATAAGTTGCAACTGAGAGTGTAAAAGTGTAGGAAGAATGTTTGATGAAAAAAATATATGCACAGTCAATTCAATCTTAGTCTATTTACATATACATTTTAATTCAATTCCCACAGTTAGGATCAGTTTCTTTGTTATATTATGCATATAATGTTCAGTGTCTGAATGTACTTTCACTCATCTGAATTTTCAGTTCCCAGTCCCATATCCCAGAAGAAAATCCTACTTGTCATTGAACGTGACTTATATTAATTTGTTTCACGCCTGGTCTTAGCAGCCAGTTAGTGGTTACTGAAGCCTAAATACCATAATATGAGTCTTACCACCCAGCATGAGATATGTTATTAATATCCCATCACCATTACATCAAGGTAAGCAGAGATTCTCTTTTCAGTTTAATTAGAATGTCGAGAAACACAAATGTTGTTTTCAATCATTGGTAACATTTTTTATCAACTTTAAAGGCATTGTGAAAAAACTTATAAAAACTAGTTTCATTGACACAATTGTGTTATTGTGCAATGGATTATGCAAGCGCTTATTTTTATTACATAACTAGCTGACCCGGCAGACTTCATAGTGCCTCAATCGATAAATAAAAGATCTAAACTCCAAAAAATAAACTTAAAACAAACAAAAGGAATCCGTCTGACGGGGGACACATCAAAGGGAAAACAAAATTGTTATTTTTATTTAAGTCTGAGCATTTTCATATTTATCTACCTTTTGAACCTTCTCTGGACTTCCACAAATAATTCAAGACCAAAATTAGCCAAATCGGTCCAGACATTCTCAAGTTTTAGCGAGACTAACGAACAGCAATTCATTTTTATATATAGATAATAATAATAATAATATGATTATCATCTGACAAGAGGTTAAGCAATAATAATTTTTCAATTACTCTTTGCAAAGTACAAAGATTTGTTCCCATTCAAAGTTAACTAGAAGAACTAATTAATACTTTAAGTGATTTATCAGAAAATCTATTACAGTTTAATAATATCATACTTGAGCAGTCTGTAAAACCACAACATCATTCATACACGTGTATCCAGCACCCATTCGTCCTCGTAGACCAGCAGTGCCAAACTTTTGGCGATGTAGCATCGTCTTCTTTAATTTCTCCCATCTTGAATTTTTAATATCATCCAATACTTCTTGACGCGTTGTGGGATTCTAAATTAATAAAAAATAGAAGTCTATAATCTGTAATTTTTTTTTTCCTAGAATTATAATATTGTCTTAGGCCTAAAACTATAATGCTGTTAAATAAAAAATACAAATATTTAATTTTATGAAACTACAATTTTTATAAATATATTAATAATTAAAAATAACGGGGTTTACTTCATTTCAGAAATGTTACAATACACGAGAAAGGTCTAGTTCATTTGCCGAAGTAATTCAAGGACGCTCTGTTTTAAAGCAGACAATCCGGTTTACCTTATCGTGTTTCAGCCAGGCATTAACTGCTGCATCTAATTTAACGTCTCCACTATTACACACACTCATTTTAAAGTTAAAAACCAATTTCAATCGCTTTAGGAATCTTTTGGAATGTTGGTACTATATTAGTACTGAAATCTTCAGTTCTATTCGATCATATAGCAAATTAACGACTGGGCAACTTGAATAATACAACTACACTTTTCTTGGTACTCAATTTAACTGATAAATTAACGTTTGATACGAAATAAATTTCATCATTCCTCATCATTCTCAATTTAGTTAATTTCAAGAAATCAGCTGTCAAGTGTCATTTTTCAAGTTTAGTACTAATATTCCAATATAGCCATTATTTCGTTAGTATACGGTGCTAAATCTTATAAAAGTTTCAGTCGTTTGTTGGAAATTTGACATTCAATTGTACAACATTCATGAGTTATACACTCCCAAGCACGCAGATTTTTATTGTAAATTGAAACTTACTTTTATTAGTACCTATCTCTAAAATTATTCGTCTTGTGGTTACAAAATAATTGCACACTCTATTAAAATATTGTCGTAAATTTGTAAATCTATCATGTCATACGGCTTAAAGGACGCATTCAGTAGGTAGTTAGAGGGGGCTATTTCAATACAACTGAATCTTCAATAATATCTTCCAATCCTAAAACTAATTGGGCCAGTTCGTTTTGCTAGTGTGCGAGCGTTACTGTCAATTAAAGTTTGATATAGATGATCCTAATCGAAAATAATTTCGTAAAATTCGACAAATACGTATTTATTATTTATTTTAACACCTTATATGAATTTATTGTATTAGATATAATAAAATAATAGTTTCAAAAACTTGGATAATATAAATTAATAAGCCATAATAGGTACTGTTAATAAAAAAGATTGAAGGGACAAAGTATTCGAGAATTGTTTGCCCAGTCCTTTAGAGACTGGGCAAACAATTCCAAGACTTCCAAGACTTACAGGATATACAAATAAATTAACAAATAGTTTTTATAAACTATTTGTTTAACCTTTATAGGTTGACCGGGAATGCGAATACAGAATAATCTTCCACCCACATTAAAAGTGAGCGATTGCGACACAGGACGTTCGATTAGGAAGCCCTGCAATCACCGGTGCTTTAATTGTAATTGCTGGTCGCCGGAACCGACCACTCCGAACCCCAGGGTCCCAGGGTCCTGCATCATCCGTTATTGTTTTAATTTGTACTTGTGTTCCAATTGTTTTAAATCTGTGACGAAGACTTAGATACCTAGCTACATACTACGTACCTTACCCTCCTCTGGTTCTTACATTATGTGTTAAATACAATACGAAAGAAAAGTATTGATGGGATTTAAACACGAATGCTCATTTATGTAGGTTAAAATACGAAATATAATTAATATTTCGTATTTTAACCTACATAATTACTACCTACACTAATAATTAATTATTTTTAAATAAATATGTATGTTTATCAAATAAAAGTTAAATTTGTAGAATTTGGTAAAAACAGAGTTGGTTTGGCTTACAGACTTAAATGGGTAATTAGTGTAATGACAAATAACTTATTATATAAAGTTTTTACCTACCGCTTTAATCTTCCGTTTATTATTTTATTATTTCCGTGGTTACGAATAGTTTACAGTTTGCGTCACGAATAAATAACTAAACGTTTTATTCATCGTCATTTGATTATTGTGTCCTGACCACCCTCGAATTTTCTTGAAGGTAGTTGTTTACGTCGGAAATAACAAAATTTAAAATATTAAACACCGATTTAAACTATTAGTCATTTTAATTAGGTCTACGAATCAGGATAATCGAAGAAAATGCTAAATAGAACAGCTTAAAAATAACGAGTCGAGTCGGTTGACATTATGAATTGTAGTTGATTTTAACGGTTATCGATTTTGATGTAACACATTGGTAAACATTGGCATTTAAATATTATATATAGGTATAATTTTTTGGCTGATCGATGAGCAGGCAAAGTTTGGCAGTTGGATGAGAGACTGCACACTGACCGCCGTCTTGGACAGTTTGCGTGAATTTTTAATTTCTTTACTGTATTGTGACGGTGTTTGTTGTTATGGGCGGCGAGGACCCAAGCACTTTGGCCACTGTGGAGTTCGAAGTTTATGGCCAGGTTCAAGGTCGGTTTTTTTTTAATTAAGTCTTTTTACTACAATAGAATTTGAAACTGGAAAAGAATGAAATCGAAATTTGAACGGGATTACATTTTTAAAAAAATACTAGATTTTTTTTGATACGAATAAATCAGTCTGAAGTAGAAGTAAGTAATTAAACAACAAATGTAATTACACAAAAACTGCTCTGAACGAACTTTAACAAAGTATACGTTTTCGTTTTTATCCCAAGCATTGTTCTGTCCTTTGAGTATTTTTAAATATTATTTAATATTTAAACTAAAGTCAATCATTAAATACGTAACATCGATCACGAATATCGGTTTTGCTCCACCCACGGCTAGTAGGCCGAGCGTATTTATTGCAAAAAGAACTTTATTTACATTAGTTAGAAAGTCGAATTATTTCATTATCGTTTTCGATACCTTTCGGTATGGTGATCGCTCAAGTGCGATATAAATAGTCGAGCCGGTGCAACTGGGTCGATGTCAATGAAAAATCTGTTAGCATGCTTATTTGGCTATCCACCCATTGCACTAGAACAAACCATAAACCCGCAGCAACCATTACTTAAACTATTAATATATGTACATAATATTTATCATACAAATTTGCCCACTGAGTTTCTCTTTTTTTTTTAATTGCTAGATGGGTGGACGAGCTCACAACCCACCTGGTGTTAAGTGGTTACTGGAGCCCATAGACATCTACAACGTAAATGCACTACCCACCTTGAGATATAAGTTCTAAGGTCTCAGTATAGTAACAACGGCTGCCCCCCACCTTTCAAGCCGAAACGCATTACTGCTTCACGGCAGAAATAGGTGGTACCTACCCGCGCGGACTCTCAAGAAGTCCTACCACCAGTAATTACGCAAGTTATAATTTTGCGGGTTTGATTTTTATTACACGATGTTATTCCTTCACCGTGGAAGTTAATCAAGAACATTTGTTAAGTACGTATTTCATCAGAAAAATTGGTACTCGCCTGCGGGATTCGAACACCGGTACATCGCTACATACGAATGCACCGGACGTATCCTTTAGGCCACGACGACTTCTCGCCGGATCTTCTCAGTGGGTCGCGTTTCCGATCCGGTGGTAGATTCTGCGAAGCACTGCTCTTGCTAGGGCCAGTGCTAGCAACACTCCCGGCTTGAGCCCTGCGAGTTCACCTACACGTCAAGTCGAAGCTGAAATAGCCTCTCAAGGCATCAGCATAGGTAGGAAAAAAATACAAATTTAATTAAAACTAGTCACTGAAGCCTTACTTACTTATTTAATATTAGACACACATTCATTGGAACATCGTTTGACGAATAATGTAATATAAAACTATAAAATAAGGTTGTACCCGAAGTATCACAGGAGATCATCCTTCTTTAGAAGAACATATAGAGGAGATTATTGGAGTGATAACGAGAAAAAAATATATTTACAAAATTCTTCAATCACGCAGGCTGGGCGGCTTTTTATTTATTTAAAACTCTCATAGTACTAGAATCGTTGTTTCCCAGTGACAAATGAAGATCCGCAGTCTTTAAACGTTATTATTAAGAACTCATATCGTGTATAAGGCTATTCCCGAACCCCAAATTGGCAAGAAACCACTGGCTTAATGTTTATGGAAAACAATAACTATCTCCTAGTAAGCTTTCATTCTTAAGGAGCCTCCCCACTATTATTGCAGGCTGACTTTCAATAATATATACTTGTCCGTCAATAGCCCACGGTGTTTCTCGTGGGAACTCCTGAGTGGGTCGCGAATCGTAACCCGGTATTAGATTCAGCATTGCTCTTGCTATGGCCAGTGCTAACAATTTTCTCAGGTTGAGCCCGCGAGCTCACCTACCAGCCCGCGTAGAGCTAATCGCCTAATTAGGCTGCCGATCCCCTCCAGTCTCTAATGTTCCTCAGTCACGACATCTTTCGATTTCCAGCGTGTCTCTTGCCTTCGTGAAGATCTTAAGACTTAAGACTTTCCTCAGCGTAATATGCATTAATTGTTTCACTTATTAAGCAAAATTTGTAGCTAAGTGAATTTCGGTTTACTAATAAGATAACATTCCATCAATAGGTACGTAATGTAAAGATAAGTTAGCTAGCGAACATTTTATATGAAATTCTGATTTTCGAGCGTCAGCTGATTTTTAATCGATTACATTGCGTGTCAAGTTTTGCAGTAAAAAGGCCCTTTTTTTTCGATTGCATCGTTTTCAGCGTTTTCGGGCACAGAATCGCCATAATTACCATTAGTTTGCTAAAATTAAAGTAAAATTTGCCATCAGGTTGCTATTTCCCGAAGTACTGCAAGGAGTTAGCGCAGCAGCTGGGCATCGGTGGCTGGGTTAAAAACACGAAGAAAGGCACCATCGTCGGGAAACTGCAGGGGACGAAAGCGCAACTAGACCACATGTAAGATTGTGAGAAATGTTTTAAATTATCAACTCATGATACCCGGCCTTGTCACAGTTTCAGGAAGTCTTCAGATTAACTTAGAATAGCGTGGAACTACGCTTAGAGGATCTGTGTTTAATAACGATCGGGTCGAAAGCAAATCAAAGATCGATAAGCGAGATAAGCGAGTCGAGTTTATCATAGTATGTCATCGTATATCTTTCGGTTGACAATTATTATTCAGTTGTCTTATACGGGAGTGTCTTTTTATCACTTTAAAGAATATTGGAAGTCAACCAAAACTCTATCATTAATGATGCGGAAATTCTAATTATGACTGGCAGTTTCATGTCAATCAACGAGCGAACCTAATTAAAAACCGAACAAGAATTAGGTACCTATCTCTCGTATTTGGCGTCTTCTTGCAAATTGATTATTGTTTATATAGACGTACTGGGTACATAACCATCAATTAAAATTAATAAACCAATTAATAAATGAATTCATTCTCCTGCCCTTCAACCAGTCACCTGGGATTGGCGCAACATATTTTCTCCTTCTATACTCCTCTATCATATAAATTAATCCAAGAAATGTCTTCGCTCACTCCCCTCTTAACATATCGTCTTTCACGCAATCCATTCATTTCTTCGTAGGTCTACCTAAGGTCTACCTCTTCCTGCAATGCGTTGTGTCTATGCTTCAAAAAAGAGTGTAATCAAATCAAAAAGGGGCGTAGATAGGAATATCAGGTAGTTTTCACAGGTAGAAAGACGTCTTAAAAATGTGATTATTAAAATCATCTCTTTCACCTATTTCAAATACCTAATACGCATTGACAGCACGTGAAATTGTGAAAAGATATTTTACCAAATAAATATTTTATTTACTAAATTTACTAAATTGTTTTATTTAAGCTAGGTATACAGCTTCTGCGAAACATTTCGAATACGTAGTCGTCTCATCATACATTAAAAATAACGTTATTCGCTATGGGTTTCTTTTATTTTTATTATTTTATTATTTGAAGTGCAAGTGCCCATATATTCACAATGCAATAAATGTACTTATTTTCCCAACGCACTGTGCATGTGCCATCTGTAGCGATGTCGCAGTAGTACGTAGCGGCTGTATGCAAACCGGAACCATTCTTCTGAGTTATGGTAATTCTCATGATATATTTGTAAGCCTTGTTTAATTTATTCAATCGAGCTAAGGTCTTCTCTGTGATTATAGTTATCCACTGTGGCGTTCTTGAGTGACTATAAGCGTTCCCGCCCAAACACAACTCGACATTGTCTCTTACTATCTGTTGCACTTCATCGACGTTAAATGTTAAATCCTCTTCGTCATACTCTTGAGCCATTAATTAGAATTAATTCCTTGTTGCGCTTAGCTCGTTAACAATGATGTATTTTGTATTTTAATTAGTCTCAAATACAAAAAGATTATTTAATTTTGTTTAAAGAAATAAATAATTTGCAATATAATATTCGTTTTCAAAATTAGGTTAACATTTTATTTCGCGTTTTTTATTGTAATTACTACATCAAATATTAATAAATTGTTATCAGCTATATCAGTCGACGAAACTGTATAAAGTATTCGATACATAAAAAAAACGCAATAAATAATTCGTAAGAAGCTTAATTTTCTCCACGTATCGAATCGCAGTGCTCATCAAAATTTCATTAGACGAACGAACATTTCATCCTTTTTTATTTTATCGAAAAATAACTTCCGAACCGAATATAACTATACACACCGGGTTGAACATGTAATAATGTCCTTTGATTCCAGGATCAACTGGTTAAGTACAACGGGCTCTCCGGGGTGCAAGATAGAGAAATGCGACCTCACAAACTGGGAGTACGTGGCTAGAATAGCGTACACTGATTTCAGTATACGATTCTGACTGATAACAATGAATGTCAAAAATATGAGGTGCTTGTTTTAAATGCTATCAAAATAAATGTGATTTTACTTAATTTAGTTTATTTGCGTTTCTTTATTATTTTCATTAATTACTATTCTATTATATTGTTTTTCTTCCTCGACTTGTGTCGGCTTTGATAAATATCCCGTCCCGTTTCCACAGGAAAAAAGATATCAATACCCCAAAATTTTAATGAGATTTTATGTGAAAAATAAAAAAAAGAATAGAAAATGACTAAAATATAATGGAAAGAACCCCAGCGTGTGTTACTATAGGGTTATTGGGGTTTCTTTCTGTAAAAAGTTTATGTAATTTACCTATATATCCTGGTCCTTCTGATCTGACTAAATAACAAAACATTAATTCCCTTATTTCTTCCGTTGACCACTTTCGTCTTCTGTCATCGCTAACCCTGTTATTTGTGGTCGTTGTAGATGAACCGACAGAGCGTGTGGGCAAAGCCCTACTCTGCAAAGTGTATAATTATTTAAAATCATATTAATTATACAATATTTACTTTTTTATTTATTAAAAATACAATTTTTAAAAACACTAAAAAATAGATTGGCGCTGATGGCGGTGTCTACGACACAGGCCACTTGTGGTTAGGACTTCAGAGTGAGAAACCTCCGCACAATACGCACCGTATCGAGGATAACTGCTTTCTGTATCAGGTCCCTAACCCAGCTGCATAATGAAAGTTTCTTAAGGTGTTGACCGAAACTTTTCGCTATCAAACCGTGTACCGACACAACTATTGGAACAATGATGGTTGAATCAACATGCCACATGGCGGTAGTCTTGTAGACCAGGTCTAAATATTTTATTGATTTGTCCTTTTCTGCCTTCACGAGGTTCTCGTCGTGAGGGTTGGTGATATCAACCAAAACTGCTCGACGTGCAAACCTATCTATTATCACAACATTTGGCTTATTGGCAACAATAGATCTATCCATGGTAATAGATCGGTCCCAGTAGAGCGTAACATGACCATTTTCGAGAAGTGGTTGTCGTTGGTATTGATAATAAGGTACAGCAGAATCAAGAAAACCATATTTCAGAGAAAGTTGTTGATGGGTAATTCTACTTGATTTAGCTTAGCCACTTGGCTATGTCTATGGAAGTATTCGCCATTAGCAAAACGAGAACAGCTAGAATCAATATGTCTAACAGACTCTCCCGGACGGTGGCATGCTCGACAAATGTTAACCGTCCCATCCTTTAGTATATATTTCTGATAGTTGTTGGTCATGATAGCTTTGTCCATAATTAGAAAAATGAAACCTTCAGTTTTCCCAAAGAGGTTACTGAATCGTAACCAGGCCGCAGAAGCTAATTGTTCTATATTTTCTTAACTATATATAATTACAGTGTATTAATACATACAGACAAGCACAGAAATTATGAATTCCATTAAAAGTATTTAAATACCGTACATTTTACTGGTGGTAGGACCTCTTGTGAGTCCGCGCGGGTAGGTACCACCACCCTGCCTATTTCTGCCGTGAAGCAGTAATGCGTCTCGGTTTGAATGGTGCGGCAGCCGTTGTAACTATACTGAGACCTTAGAACTTATATCTCAAGGTGGGTGGCGCATTTACGTGGTAGATATCTATGGGATCCAGTATCCACTTAACACCAGGTGGGCTGTGAGCTCGTCCACACATCACAGCAATAAAAAAAAAATGGTCACGTGGGTGGCAGAATTCAACTACTGATATTTAAAGATCCCGAACCTTACCGCCGAACAGGAGGTAAAACCCACCAATTGGAAGTAAGCAATTATCGAATTCTCCTTTTTATTGAAATTGTCGATAAATTTCTTCCTCCATGTTGGTCATCACTATCGTTCATGAACACGAGCAGTACTTAGAATCGCTCGTTACCACTGTAAAGCTCCCCAAACAACTTAAGAGACAAGCACCCAACTCGTAGAAGGCTTGTTCGAAATATGCCACAGCACTATTCCATATATCGAATGAAAAAATAGCATGAAAATAAAAATATCCAAAATTATTTCACAATCAGTTTATTATTGCATAATCTACAGATAAAATTATGTACAAAAACAATCAGCCCTGCAAATCTAGTGGATCACTTATATACATGTGTATCACTATCTTTATAATCTTGTTATAGAACAAGATGGCGTATAATATAAAAAAAAACTATAAGACCCTAAATTTGTATAAAGACAGCGAAGACATTAAATTCGTAAAATGTGGAATTTCTATTAAAAAAACAAAAAATCCACCTTGTCCCTTGTCATGGCTATCTTAATTTGGTTAAATTGTGTTCTACATACACAATAGTAATTTAACACGTTCACTGCGCCATTATTATCAAAGAACTTTCAGCTGGTGCTTTGGAGACCTAAAAGATCTCGAAACTTACTCACCCTTTGGTGCGTTTGAGACCTAATCAGTCTCCTAAAGATACAGTTTTGTAAATAATTTATATCTTCCAAAAAAACAATGACATATACTTTGAAGTTTTTGTGGATGAAAGATAGCCTATTGATTTATATTTTGCTAGGTTCGCACCATTGAAGTAGGAAACCTATGGAAATGAAATGTCAACAAAAAATTCGTGCCACTGTGACGTCATCTGGCCACAAAACATGGCGGTTTTAGTGCTGCCCAGAAGATTTTAATGTTAGTAGGTTTTATCGATAAACGTTCTTGGCTTATTTTATTTTAAATATTGTTGAGTATGAATGTATTTGTAGAATTTATACTTTAATAGGAATTAAGTATATTGTTATGTGCAAAGATGATGTGATTTAGATATTATGTGAAATCTAACTTGAGAGTGATTCAAATTTTAAACTTATCAAGGGACCGCCTGATAAAAAAAAACACCTACAGAACATTTATTCGTTAATGAAATTACAAACGTCATTCCTTGTGACTTCCTCTCTAAAATCACTTAATTAATAAATATTTAACGAATTTACAATAGTGTTTTACTCACTGCGGAATAAAACTATTTTATTTAAATAGTTCCGAAGAGATTTTGTCGGTAGCCTTTTTCCCGAAATATATAAACAGAATGTCTAAATATGTTTTGATGACATATTTTAAAGAGGTATTTGATCAGGGCGGATCAGGCGGGTGGGGTTATGGTGGGGGTCATGACCCCCTGGTCCCTAGGGTGAGGCCACATATTGAACATAATGATTTTAGGACACAATATATTGTTGCTCCTTATATTGCTCCTTAATTAATTTAATATAATATAATAACTTTGTATGATGGCAAATGTTTGGGAACGAACGCATCGAAAATTTGAATTTTACCGCGCCACACTCGCGCGCGCTTGTCGACTGCGTAACGTCTAGGTCTTTCTCTACGTTGCACAGACTTAAATCGTGGCTAAGATCTTCAATGGTTGAAGATCGCCTAACCGGACTGGCACTTCTCCACGTTCATAAAAACGTACCCATTGACGTAAATGACGTAATAACGCGTTTCGGGAGAAGACGTAAAAGAAAAATTGATTTTGTTATTTAAATATATGTATTTTGTCTGTTTCTATTTTGTTTGTTGGAAACCCTTGTCGTACCACTTCTGTGGAGTTTTGCGTCATACTCCTCGACATACCTCTAGCTCTGACAAACCGTTCACCACGGTTATGCGAATATAAATAAGCCGCTTCATTCCGGGCGTGATCATTTATTTACTTATAGGAGGGCCCTGCACTGCGTCCCTCTCGATACTCCCTCGCTCTTACATATCGAGGCGTCAGTGTGCCGCATCGCGCTGACGGGACACCAGCCGATCGTCATCGCATCCGTTTATCTCCCCCCTGACAAACCCCTCCTGAGCAGTGACCTCGAGACGCTGTTCGGTATGGGGGACGCGGTCATCCTGGCAGGCGATTTAAATTGCCACCACACTAGGTGGAACTGCCATCGCACGAATGTGAACGGTAGGCGTCTCGACGCGTTCATAGACGACCTCACATTCGAAGTATTCAACCCCCCGACCCCCACGTGCTATCCGTACAACGCCGCGCGTCGTCCGAGCACAATAGATCTGGCACTGCTGAGGAACGTAACTCTGCGCCGCATGGAACTGGTGGGGTTGGATTGGAAGAAGCTGGGCACGTGCTTAGCTGACACCGCTCCACCAATCCTCCCTGCGCCCGGATTTTCAACTCCATTTACCCCGAGGACCAGTCGAATCCATAAAACATCTTCACTGATCACGTCGTCGACCGCGATCATAAGTGCTTCTAAACAAGTCGATATGGAGGACTGCTTCCACTGCATCAGACTTTTCCCCGAGCTTAGGGATCTCTTAAGAGTCAGGAACGCGGCAATCCGAGCCCACGATCGATATCCCACGGATTCAAACCGGGCTCGGATGCGTCGCCTACGGCGGGAGGTCAAGTCCCGCCTAACCGACGTCCGAAATGAAAATTGGGATAGTCTTATTAGAAGAACTTCGCGCTCACTCACCAAAGCTATACTGAGCGACTAGCTAGGACTCAGCTCCGAAAACTATCGTCACTATGCCGCCTCTTGTACGCGCTCAGGCCCAAACCAACCGCCGGCCCTTACGATGCACGAGATAAGGCAGAGTTGCTGGCCGCATTGCATGCAAGAGCAGTGCCACCAGACCAGCACTCAACACGCGGGACCCCGATCCACACTGAGTTAGTCTGACAATTGGATAGGGTTCGAGGCAGAATCTTCCCTCCCTGCCGCCCTCTCGGACGCGTTACCCCCCATTACCACTTCCGAGGTTAAGGAGGCGATCAATAACCTGCAACCACGGAAAGCTCCCGGATCCGACGGCATCCGCAACCGCGCGCTTAAATTGTTACCAGCCCAACTAATAACGATATTGGCCACCATTTTAAATGCTGCTATGACGAACTGCATCTTTCCCGCGGCGTGGAAAGAAGCTGACGTTATCGGCATACACAAGCCGGGCAAACCGAAGAACGAAACCGCGAGTTACCGCCCCATCAGTCTCCTCCCGGCGATAGGCAAACTATACGAACGGCTCCTTCGTAAACGCCT